CGGGAAGAGCAGGCGCTCGCCGGGCGAGTAGGGCCGGCGCTCGGCGGGCGGCTGCACGGGGTCCAGGGGCGGCTGCTCAGGGGCGGCTGCTGCAGGGGCCAGGGGCGGCTGCTCTGGGTCCAGGGGCGGCTGCTCGAGGGTCCAGGGGCGGCTGCACCAGGGGCGGCTGCTTCAGGGGCCAGGGGCAGCTGCTCGGGGTCCAGGTGCGGCTGCTCCAGGGGCGGCTGCTGCAGGGGCCAGGGGCGGCTGCTCTGGGTCCAGGGGCGGCTGCTCCAGGGGCGGCTGCTGCAGGGGCCAGGGGCGGCTGCTCTGGGTCCAGGGGCGGCTGCACGGAGTCCAGGGGCGGCTGCACGGAGTCCAGGGGCGGCTGCACCAGGGGCGGCTGCTTCAGGGGCCAGGGGCGGCTGCTCTGGGTCCAGGGGCGGCTGCTCCAGGGGCGGCTGCTTCAGGGGCCAGGGGCGGCTGCTCTGGGTCCAGGGGCGGCTGCACCAGGGGCAGCTGGCCGCACGCGTGCTCCTGAGGCGGCGCGCTAGGCATCTGCAGGCCGCGCGCACTCCTAAGGCAGCGGGCTCAGCAGCGGCGGGCCGCGCAGGCGGCCGACGCGACTCGCAGGACAGCAGCGAGCTGCGTGGGCGGCGGACTCGGCGCGCGGCTCAGTAGCGGGCCGCGCTGGCGACAGACGCGGCGCGCGAGGCCTAAGCGGGCCGCACACGGCGGCGGGCTACTCGGGCTCGACGCGGACTGCGCGAGCGGGCCGGCGCGCGGCGCTACAGCGGGCTACGGAGTGGCCGAGGCGCGCGCGAGCTCCTAAGGCGGCTGCAGTAGTGACGCGCGCGAAAATAAAAGGTTGTCGCGCGCAAGCAGCCGAGGCGCGCGCGGGCAGCAGGCAGGGCAGGCAGGCAGGCAGTGAGGCCGTAGGTGAGGTAACTTAGTTAAAGGTGGGCCCTATTCTTAGGTCCTAGAGACCTTAGTGCTCTAGATACCATGTCGAGACTTAGGCAAGGGTGAATTTGAGTATTGAGAGAGTTGGTACAAGAGGAAAAAACCTAAGGGGTTATACCCCACACTATCAACCCCACTACACCCTAGCAATAACACTAACATATATATATATATATATGTTTGACAGACCTAGCTACGCAGCGGTCGTCACAGGGTTACACCTTCAGCCTTGGCTCTGGTTCAGTTTCCTGGCGGTCTACACGCTCGTCTTCAGTTCTCGGCTCCAGTTGTGAGGCTGAGATCTACGCCACAACCATGGCTGCACAGGAGCTACGCTGGCTCACCTACCTGCTGACCGACTTGGGAGAGCGGCCTCGTTCTCCTCCAGTGCTGTACGTCGACAACAAGGCCGTCATTGTCTTGTGTCAGGAGCACAGACTGGAGCACAGAACGAAGCACATCGCTCTGCGTTACTTCCTTGCTCGAGAGTTGCAGCAGCGTGGTCAGCTTCGTCTTGCTTACGTGGCCACTCGGGCCAACACTGCTGATATATTCACCAAGGCACTTCCGTCTGGTGATCATCAACGTTTTTGTACTTTGTTAGGCCTTGTGCCCACGTTTCCTCACTTGCTGTAGACTTTGCCTGTACTGTGATCTGTATAGATAGATATATATATATATATATATATATATATCTGCATGCTTGCTCTGCTAGGTAGAGATCACTGTGCTGCCGTTGTTTCATATATATATATATCTGCATGTGAACTGGCCTTGTGGCCCTTTGCTTGTGCTCAGTGTGTGTGGTGACGTTGTGATCCACCCTGAGCTTGCTTTGCTTCTCTTGACTGGTCTTGTGACCCCTTGTTCTCCCCCACTTTGCCTATGGGGGTGTGTCAATCATATGCATGTTGTTTCTGGTTAGGCTGTAGTGGGGTAGCTACTGTAGGGTACAACCCCTTAGGGTTCTCATGCTTGTACCCAAACTTTCTCGACAATGACCAACCTACTCTAACAGTGTGAGCATCAGGTAGTGCTACACAAAACTTTCACTACGAATCAGGATCTTCGCAATTTTACAGGAGTGCGTGCTGCAGATGGTTTTACAGCGAATCAGCATCAAAGTCTCCTATTCTTTACAATACATAAGCGATAACTTACATGTGACGAGATTTTGTCTTACAAATCCCGTAATCACGCAACCATTTCCTCAGCGTAACTGGAAGATATTATCGACGAACGAGTGTATTCGGATGTCCCAGCTGTTGAAGTGTGCGTTGCTCACGTCCTGGCACTCCACTGCCATCTCGGAAGTGGGCATATTGAAAGGAAACTTTCAGGAAACTTTGTTTCGATAAGCACGCAGAGTGTACCCCCGATACAAGTCTGAGGCTCAGCCTACACTTAAAAAATTAGGTAGAGTTTAGGTACAAAATTCTTAGACTTCAGACTAGGTACAAAAAAAAAGTCTGAACGGACTCTGAATCAGACTTTAAAGCCCGGGGTCAGCATGGTAAATTATCAAGTTATGTGGATTTGAAATAGGCTGTATGCGAGATCTGCGAAGCCTATTTCGGTTGGCTGCCTTTGGCGAGAACAATTATCCTCCGCAAACAAGTGAACATTTCGCACTCACCAAACCTGCGAATCCCACCAACCCAAAGCGACAAATGTGTCGCACACATCCTCTCTCACACATCCTCACTTGCATCGAGCATCGAAAGTGTTGCTCACCCGAAGTCACCTAACCACTGAATCAGCTCGATGCTAACGGGAAATAGGAAAACAGAGCAAGCAACGCACGTGCTGGGTATCAACGCCACCTACTCAACGCCACAACAGAAACCGGTTCGAGACGATCCTTACCCCAGATTACTAGCTTACCGACCATCGCAGGAGCTGGCAACAGCAAAGTGTAGGAACGTGCAAGCGCGATTGCACTTACGGGAAGAAGGCCGTGATGACAGACTGGAGACTACGGGTAGCTAGGCACAACAAGAAACCGGGAGTGTATTGGAGTCGTTGTGACTAGCCAGGGGGAAGAAAGCGGACGAGATTCAGCTCGCGCACCAAGCGCCGAGCAGCACCCGCTCGCCGCATTTAGCTGCTCGCGTCCTGTGCGACGCGGAGCTCGCATTCCTCGCGACGCGGATCCCGCATTTCAGGCGGATCGGATCCCGCCCTCCAGTCGACGCGGAGCCCGCGTTCGCAGCGACGCGGAGTCCGCATTCCAGACGACGCGGAGCCCGCATTCCAGACGACGCGGAGCCCGCATTCCAGACGACGCGGAGCCCGCAGTCCAGACGACGCGGAGCCCGCATTCCCGGCGACGAGAAGCGCGCCCTCCAGGTGACCTGGCTACGACCACCGCGCGCACAACTAAAGCGGATACTGCGCACTGACGGGGAGCAAGGGGCAGCACACGCCCCTGCGGGTCGTTCGAGAGGATAGCCCAGGTGAGTGCCCAATTCCCTGCTACTGCGACTATAGTACAGCGACAATGGTCGCTGCTGCCTTGGGGGTCCTATCACGCTCACGTGTCACGAGGCAAAGGCACACACAAACAACCATCAACACCGGTTGCTGCTGCCTTGGGGGTCTTATCACGCTCACGTGTCACGAGGCAAAGGCACACAGCTGCAACCAGGACAGCTGCTGCCTTGGGCTTGCTTTCACCACTGTAAACCCACCTGTTCTGTCCCAAGACAGCAACATCTCTGGATGCTGCTGCCTTGGGCCTGGTTTCAGCACCATGCCCCCACCTGTTCAGTCCCCAGGCAGCAACAACCAGAGTTGCTGCTGCCTTGGGCTTGCTTTCACCACTGTAAACCCACCTGTTCAGTCCCAAGCCAACAGCAACTCTGGATGCTGCTGCCTTGGGCCTGGTTTCAGCACCATGCACCCACCTGTTCTGTCCCCAGGCAGCAACAACCTGGTATCTTCCCTGTCCTGCCCCGCACCGCCTTTCCCTGCTCCAACTAAACATGCCATGCTATACCAGGAGATGCCCTGCCCTGCCCTGTCATGCCCTACCCTGCCCTGCCCTGCCCTGCCCTGCCTGCCATGCCCTGCCCTGCCGTGCCGTGCCCTGCCCTGCCATGTCCTGCCATGTCCTGCCCTGCAATGCCCTGTCCCGCCCTGCAATGCCCTGTCCCGCCCTGCCCCGCCCTTGTCTGCACCCTCATTTTCTGCCATGCCATGACTAGAGGGGCCATGCCTGCCCTGCTTTCTCATGGCCCACCCCGCCCTTGTCTGCACCATCCGCGTCATGCCATGCCTCTCCCATGCCATGCCATGCCCTGCCCTGCCCTCCCCTGTCATGCTCCGCTCCGCCCTTCTCCCTCCCCCCCTCCAGGCATGCCCTGCCATGCTCTGCGGATGAGATTATTCATAGCTACAGGCACACCACCCTAAATTCTGGCTTATCCTCCTTCTCATTGGCTATAGCTGCAGGTTACCACTGTGAGAGGGATAAGGCGGAATTGCCATCGGATCAAGGGGATGATGTGGCAGACGCAGTGATAAAAGATGCGGAGGAGTGGAGCGACGATAGTGATGAGTGGTGGGTAGCAGGCCACTATGACGGGGAGGAAGTGGAGGTGTGGGTGGCAGGTCAGGATGAATAAATGGGGTTGTGTTTCCATCCCCACTGAGCTAATGTGGTCTTGAACATGTCATGCTTGAATGTGTTTAGAGGACTTTGCCGTTCTGTCCTAAACCTAATCATTCTAAGAGTGAAATAAACTTGCACATATTATAGTTGCAATATACGTTACACGTGCGGATGAAGTCAGCCCGGTGAAACTACTCCAATGCTTCGATTCTTGAGACCCTAATCCAGCTCATGTTCCATTCTGCCTAGGGGCACTAGCTTGTTTGGTATCCCAAAAAGGATACATCCATGATGATGATGTGTAACAATTATCTTACTCCAAAGGTGTCAGTGCCCAGCTCTGTTTGCACTTTATTGCAAATTATTGCTGAGGTAACCACTTGGCATCCAATGTACACTACTTCAGGATGGCTTATACTTGCATTTCACAAGGACCTCGTTCACAATGCGCAGTGAAGTGAGCCACAGTACTGGAATCGACACACCAGTTAGCCTGCCAACACATGGCAGATGCATGGGTGGGATAGAAGGTGCACGGCTTGAGGGCTAAAAAATGTACCGGTAGTAGCTCAGAGTAGGAGCAGACGAACCAGTGGCAGCTATAGGATCTCTAGAGGGACTTGCTGCTGCTCTTGAAGCAGAAAAGCAGGAGTGCAAGGGCTGACAGCAGGGGTGCAAGGGTGGAAAGCAGGGGTGCAAGGGCGGACAGCAGGGGTGCAAGGGTGGAAAGCAGGGGTGCAAGGGCTGACAGCAGGGGTGCAAGGGTGGAAAGCAGGGGTGCAAGGGCTGACAGCAGGGGTGCAAGGGTGGAAAGCAGGGGTGCAAGGGCTGACAGCAGGGGTGCAAGGGTGGAAAGCAGGGGTGCAAGGGCTGACAGCAGGGGTGCAAGGGTGGAAAGCAGGGGTGCAAGGGCTGACAGCAGGGGTGCAAGGGTGGAAAGCAGGGGTGCAAGGGCTGACAGCAGGGGTGCAAGGGTGGAAAGCAGGGGTGCAAGGGCTGACAGCAGGGGTGCAAGGGTGGAAAGCAGGGGTGCAAGGGCTGACAGCAGGGGTGCACGGGTGGGAAGCAGGGGTGCAAGGGCTGACAGCAGGGGTGCACGGGTGGGAAGCAGGGGTGCAAGGGCTGACAGCAGGGGTGCACGGGTGGGAAGCAGGGGTGCAAGGGCTGACAGCAGGGGTGCACGGGTGGGAAGCAGGGGTGCAAGGGCTGACAGCAGGGGTGCATGGGTGGGAAGCAGGGGTGCAAGGGCTGACAGCAGGGGTGCACGGGTGGGAAGCAGGGGTGCAAGGGCTGACAGCAGGGGTGCACGGGTGGGAAGCAGGGGTGCAAGGGCTGACAGCAGGGGTGCACGGGTGGGAAGCAGGGGTGCAAGGGCTGACAGCAGGGGTGCACGGGTGGGAAGCAGGGGTGCAAGGGCTGACAGCAGGGGTGCACGGGTGGGAAGCAGGGGTGCAAGGGCTGACAGCAGGGGTGCACGGGTGGGAAGCAGGGGTGCAAGGGCTGACAGCAGGGGTGCACGGGTGGGAAGCAGGGGTGCAAGGGCTGACAGCAGGGGTGCACGGGTGGGAAGCAGGGGTGCAAGGGCTGACAGCAGGGGTGCACGGGTGGGAAGCAGGGGTGCAAGGGCTGACAGCAGGGGTGCACGGGTGGGAAGCAGGGGTGCAAGGGCTGACAGCAGGGGTGCACGGGTGGGAAGCAGGGGTGCAAGGGCTGACAGCAGGGGTGCACGGGTGGGAAGCAGGGGTGCAAGGGCTGACAGCAGGGGTGCACGGGTGGGAAGCAGGGTTGCAAGGGCTGACAGCAGGGGTGCATGGGTGGGAAGCAGGGGTGCAAGGGCTGACAGCAGGGGTGCACGGGTGGGAAGCAGGGGTGCAAGGGCTGACAGCAGGGGTGCACGGGTGGGAAGCAGGGGTGCAAGGGCTGACAGCAGGGGTGCACGGGTGGGAAGCAGGGGTGCAAGGGCTGACAGCAGGGGTGCATGGGTGGAAAGCAGGGGTGCAAGGGCTGACAGCAGGGGTGCAAGGGTGGAAAGCAGGGGTGCAAGGGCTGACAGCAGGGGTGCACGGGTGGGAAGCAGGGGTGCAAGGGCTGACAGCAGGGGTGCACGGGTGGGAAGCAGGGGTGCAAGGGCTGACAGCAGGGGTGCACGGGTGGGAAGCAGGGGTGCAAGGGCTGACAGCAGGGGTGCATGGGTGGGAAGCAGGGGTGCAAGGGCTGACAGCAGGGGTGCACGGGTGGGAAGCAGGGGTGCAAGGGCTGACAGCAGGGGTGCACGGGTGGGAAGCAGGGGTGCAAGGGCTGACAGCAGGGGTGCACGGGTGGGAAGCAGGGGTGCAAGGGCTGACAGCAGGGGTGCACGGGTGGGAAGCAGGGGTGCACGGGTGGGAAGCAGGGGTGCACGGGTGGGAAGCAGGGGTGCAAGGGCTGACAGCAGGGGTGCACGGGTGGGAAGCAGGGGTGCAAGGGTTGACAGCAGGGGTGCACGGGTGGGAAGCAGGGGTGCAAGGGCTGACAGCAGGGGTGCACGGGTGGGAAGCAGGGGTGCAAGGGCTGACAGCAGGGGTGCACGGGTGGGAAGCAGGGGTGCAAGGGCTGACAGCAGGGGTGCACGGGTGGGAAGCAGGGGTGCAAGGGCTGACAGCAGGGGTGCACGGGTGGGAAGCAGGGGTGCAAGGGCTGACAGCAGGGGTGCACGGGTGGGAAGCAGGGGTGCAAGGGCTGACAGCAGGGGTGCACGGGTGGGAAGCAGGGGTGCAAGGGCTGACAGCAGGGGTGCACGGGTGGGAAGCAGGGGTGCAAGGGCTGACAGCAGGGGTGCACGGGTGGGAAGCAGGGGTGCAAGGGCTGACAGCAGGGGTGCACGGGTGGGAAGCAGGGGTGCAAGGGCTGACAGCAGGGGTGCACGGGTGGGAAGCAGGGGTGCACGGGCTGACAGCAGGGGTGCACGGGTGGGAAGCAGGGGTGCAAGGGCTGACAGCAGGGGTGCACGGGTGGGAAGCAGGGGTGCAAGGGCTGACAGCAGGGGTGCACGGGTGGGAAGCAGTGGTGCAAGGGCTGACAGCAGGGGTGCACGGGTGGGAAGCAGGGGTGCAAGGGCTGACAGCAGGGGTGCACGGGTGGGAAGCAGGGGTGCAAGGGCTGACAGCAGGGGTGCACGGGTGGGAAGCAGGGGTGCAAGGGCTGACAGCAGGGGTGCACGGGTGGGAAGCAGGGGTGCACGGGCTGACAGCAGGGGTGCACGGGTGGGAAGCAGGGGTGCACGGGCTGACAGCAGGGGTGCACGGGTGGGAAGCAGGGGTGCAAGGGCTGACAGCAGGGGTGCACGGGTGGGAAGCAGGGGTGCAAGGGCTGACAGCAGGGGTGCAAGGGTGGAAAGCAGGGGTGCAAGGGCTGACAGCAGGGGTGCAAGGGTGGAAAGCAGGGGTGCAAGGGCTGACAGCAGGGGTGCAAGGGTGGAAAGCAGGGGTGCAAGGGCTGACAGCAGGGGTGCAAGGGTGGAAAGCAGGGGTGCAAGGGCTGACAGCAGGGGTGCAAGGGTGGAAAGCAGGGGTGCAAGGGCTGACAGCAGGGGTGCACGGGTGGGAAGCAGGGGTGCAAGGGCTGACAGCAGGGGTGCACGGGTGGGAAGCAGGGGTGCAAGGGCTGACAGCAGGGGTGCACGGGTGGGAAGCAGGGGTGCAAGGGCTGACAGCAGGGGTGCACGGGTGGGAAGCAGTGGTGCAAGGGCTGACAGCAGGGGTGCACGGGTGGGAAGCAGGGGTGCAAGGGCTGACAGCAGGGGTGCACGGGTGGGAAGCAGGGGTGCAAGGGCTGACAGCAGGGGTGCACGGGTGGGAAGCAGGGGTGCAAGGGCTGACAGCAGGGGTGCACGGGTGGGAAGCAGGGGTGCAAGGGCTGACAGCAGGGGTGCACGGGTGGGAAGCAGGGGTGCAAGGGCTGACAGCAGGGGTGCACGGGTGGGAAGCAGGGGTGCAAGGGCTGACAGCAGGGGTGCACGGGTGGGAAGCAGGGGTGCAAGGGCTGACAGCAGGGGTGCACGGGTGGGAAGCAGGGGTGCAAGGGCTGACAGCAGGGGTGCACGGGTGGGAAGCAGGGGTGCAAGGGCTGACAGCAGGGGTGCACGGGTGGGAAGCAGGGGTGCAAGGGCTGACAGCAGGGGTGCACGGGTGGGAAGCAGGGGTGCACGGGCTGACAGCAGGGGTGCACGGGTGGGAAGCAGGGGTGCAAGGGCTGACAGCAGGGGTGCACGGGTGGGAAGCAGGGGTGCAAGGGCTGACAGCAGGGGTGCACGGGTGGGAAGCAGGGGTGCAAGGGCTGACAGCAGGGGTGCACGGGTGGGAAGCAGGGGTGCAAGGGCTGACAGCAGGGGTGCACGGGTGGGAAGCAGGGGTGCAAGGGCTGACAGCAGGGGTGCACGGGTGGGAAGCAGGGGTGCAAGGGCTGACAGCAGGGGTGCACGGGTGGGAAGCAGGGGTGCAAGGGCTGACAGCAGGGGTGCACGGGTGGGAAGCAGGGGTGCAAGGGCTGACAGCAGGGGTGCACGGGTGGGAAGCAGGGGTGCAAGGGCTGACAGCAGGGGTGCACGGGTGGGAAGCAGGGGTGCAAGGGTTGACAGCAGGGGTGCACGGGTGGGAAGCAGGGGTGCAAGGGCTGACAGCAGGGGTGCACGGGTGGGAAGCAGGGGTGCAAGGGCTGACAGCAGGGGTGCACGGGTGGGAAGCAGGGGTGCAAGGGCTGACAGCAGGGGTGCACGGGTGGGAAGCAGGGGTGCAAGGGCTGACAGCAGGGGTGCACGGGTGGGAAGCAGGGGTGCAAGGGCTGACAGCAGGGGTGCACGGGTGGGAAGCAGGGGTGCAAGGGCTGACAGCAGGGGTGCACGGGTGGGAAGCAGGGGTGCACGGGCTGACAGCAGGGGTGCACGGGTGGGAAGCAGGGGTGCAAGGGCTGACAGCAGGGGTGCACGGGTGGGAAGCAGGGGTGCAAGGGCTGACAGCAGGGGTGCACCGGGTGGGAAGCAGGGGTGCAAGGGCTGACAGCAGGGGTGCACGGGTGGGAAGCAGGGGTGCAAGGGCTGACAGCAGGGGTGCACGGGTGGGAAGCAGGGGTGCAAGGGCTGACAGCAGGGGTGCACGGGTGGGAAGCAGGGGTGCAAGGGCTGACAGCAGGGGTGCACGGGTGGGAAGCAGGGGTGCAAGGGCTGACAGCAGGGGTGCACGGGTGGGAAGCAGGGGTGCAAGGGCTGACAGCAGGGGTGCACGGGTGGGAAGCAGGGGTGCAAGGGCTGACAGCAGGGGTGCACGGGTGGGAAGCAGGGGTGCAAGGGCTGACAGCAGGGGTGCACGGGTGGGAAGCAGGGGTGCAAGGGCTGACAGCAGGGGTGCACGGGTGGGAAGCAGGGGTGCAAGGGCTGACAGCAGGGGTGCACGGGTGGGAAGCAGGGGTGCAAGGGCTGACAGCAGGGGTGCACGGGTGGGAAGCAGGGGTGCAAGGGCTGACAGCAGGGGTGCACGGGTGGGAAGCAGTGGTGCAAGGGCTGACAGCAGGGGTGCACGGGTGGGAAGCAGGGGTGCAAGGGCTGACAGCAGGGGTGCACGGGTGGGAAGCAGGGGTGCAAGGGCTGACAGCAGGGGTGCACGGGTGGGAAGCAGGGGTGCAAGGGCTGACAGCAGGGGTGCAAGGGTGGAAAGCAGGGGTGCAAGGGCTGACAGCAGGGGTGCAAGGGTGGAAAGCAGGGGTGCAAGGGCTGACAGCAGGGGTGCAAGGGTGGAAAGCAGGGGTGCAAGGGCTGACAGCAGGGGTGCACGGGTGGGAAGCAGGGGTGCAAGGGCTGACAGCAGGGGTGCACGGGTGGGAAGCAGGGGTGCAAGGGCTGACAGCAGGGGTGCACGGGTGGGAAGCAGGGGTGCAAGGGCTGACAGCAGGGGTGCACGGGTGGGAAGCAGTGGTGCAAGGGCTGACAGCAGGGGTGCACGGGTGGGAAGCAGGGGTGCAAGGGCTGACAGCAGGGGTGCACGGGTGGGAAGCAGGGGTGCAAGGGCTGACAGCAGGGGTGCACGGGTGGGAAGCAGGGGTGCAAGGGCTGACAGCAGGGGTGCACGGGTGGGAAGCAGGGGTGCAAGGGCTGACAGCAGGGGTGCATGGGTGGGAAGCAGGGGTGCAAGGGCTGACAGCAGGGGTGCACGGGTGGGAAGCAGGGGTGCAAGGGCTGACAGCAGGGGTGCACGGGTGGGAAGCAGGGGTGCAAGGGCTGACAGCAGGGGTGCACGGGTGGGAAGCAGGGGTGCAAGGGCTGACAGCAGGGGTGCACGGGTGGGAAGCAGGGGTGCACGGGTGGGAAGCAGGGGTGCACGGGTGGGAAGCAGGGGTGCAAGGGCTGACAGCAGGGGTGCACGGGTGGGAAGCAGGGGTGCAAGGGTTGACAGCAGGGGTGCACGGGTGGGAAGCAGGGGTGCAAGGGCTGACAGCAGGGGTGCACGGGTGGGAAGCAGGGGTGCAAGGGCTGACAGCAGGGGTGCACGGGTGGGAAGCAGGGGTGCACGGGCTGACAGCAGGGGTGCACGGGTGGGAAGCAGGGGTGCAAGGGCTGACAGCAGGGGTGCACGGGTGGGAAGCAGGGGTGCAAGGGCTGACAGCAGGGGTGCACGGGTGGGAAGCAGGGGTGCAAGGGCTGACAGCAGGGGTGCACGGGTGGGAAGCAGGGGTGCAAGGGCTGACAGCAGGGGTGCACGGGTGGGAAGCAGGGGTGCAAGGGCTGACAGCAGGGGTGCACGGGTGGGAAGCAGGGGTGCAAGGGCTGACAGCAGGGGTGCACGGGTGGGAAGCAGGGGTGCAAGGGCTGACAGCAGGGGTGCACGGGTGGGAAGCAGGGGTGCAAGGGCTGACAGCAGGGGTGCACGGGTGGGAAGCAGGGGTGCAAGGGCTGACAGCAGGGGTGCACGGGTGGGAAGCAGGGGTGCAAGGGCTGACAGCAGGGGTGCACGGGTGGGAAGCAGGGGTGCAAGGGCTGACAGCAGGGGTGCACGGGTGGGAAGCAGGGGTGCAAGGGCTGACAGCAGGGGTGCACGGGTGGGAAGCAGGGGTGCAAGGGCTGACAGCAGGGGTGCACGGGTGGGAAGCAGGGGTGCAAGGGCTGACAGCAGGGGTGCACGGGTGGGAAGCAGGGGTGCAAGGGCTGACAGCAGGGGTGCACGGGTGGGAAGCAGGGGTGCAAGGGCTGACAGCAGGGGTGCACGGGTGGGAAGCAGGGGTGCAAGGGCTGACAGCAGGGGTGCACGGGTGGGAAGCAGGGGTGCACGGGCTGACAGCAGGGGTGCACGGGTGGGAAGCAGGGGTGCAAGGGCTGACAGCAGGGGTGCACGGGTGGGAAGCAGGGGTGCAAGGGCTGACAGCAGGGGTGCACGGGTGGGAAGCAGGGGTGCAAGGGCTGACAGCAGGGGTGCACGGGTGGGAAGCAGGGGTGCAAGGGCTGACAGCAGGGGTGCACGGGTGGGAAGCAGGGGTGCAAGGGCTGACAGCAGGGGTGCACGGGTGGGAAGCAGGGGTGCAAGGGCTGACAGCAGGGGTGCACGGGTGGGAAGCAGGGGTGCAAGGGCTGACAGCAGGGGTGCACGGGTGGGAAGCAGGGGTGCAAGGGCTGACAGCAGGGGTGCACGGGTGGGAAGCAGGGGTGCAAGGGTTGACAGCAGGGGTGCACGGGTGGGAAGCAGGGGTGCAAGGGCTGACAGCAGGGGTGCACGGGTGGGAAGCAGGGGTGCAAGGGCTGACAGCAGGGGTGCACGGGTGGGAAGCAGGGGTGCAAGGGCTGACAGCAGGGGTGCACGGGTGGGAAGCAGGGGTGCAAGGGCTGACAGCAGGGGTGCACGGGTGGGAAGCAGGGGTGCAAGGGCTGACAGCAGGGGTGCACGGGTGGGAAGCAGGGGTGCAAGGGCTGACAGCAGGGGTGCACGGGTGGGAAGCAGGGGTGCACGGGCTGACAGCAGGGGTGCACGGGTGGGAAGCAGGGGTGCAAGGGCTGACAGCAGGGGTGCACGGGTGGGAAGCAGGGGTGCAAGGGCTGACAGCAGGGGTGCACGGGTGGGAAGCAGGGGTGCAAGGGCTGACAGCAGGGGTGCACGGGTGGGAAGCAGGGGTGCAAGGGCTGACAGCAGGGGTGCACGGGTGGGAAGCAGGGGTGCAAGGGCTGACAGCAGGGGTGCACGGGTGGGAAGCAGGGGTGCAAGGGCTGACAGCAGGGGTGCACGGGTGGGAAGCAGGGGTGCAAGGGCTGACAGCAGGGGTGCACGGGTGGGAAGCAGGGGTGCAAGGGCTGACAGCAGGGGTGCACGGGTGGGAAGCAGGGGTGCAAGGGCTGACAGCAGGGGTGCACGGGTGGGAAGCAGGGGTGCAAGGGCTGACAGCAGGGGTGCACGGGTGGGAAGCAGGGGTGCAAGGGCTGACAGCAGGGGTGCACGGGTGGGAAGCAGGGGTGCAAGGGCTGACAGCAGGGGTGCACGGGTGGGAAGCAGGGGTGCAAGGGCTGACAGCAGGGGTGCACGGGTGGGAAGCAGGGGTGCAAGGGCTGACAGCAGGGGTGCACGGGTGGGAAGCAGGGGTGCACGGGCTGACAGCAGGGGTGCACGGGTGGGAAGCAGGGGTGCAAGGGCTGACAGCAGGGGTGCACGGGTGGGAAGCAGGGGTGCAAGGGCTGACAGCAGGGGTGCACGGGTGGGAAGCAGGGGTGCAAGGGCTGACAGCAGGGGTGCACGGGTGGGAAGCAGGGGTGCAAGGGCTGACAGCAGGGGTGCACGGGTGGGAAGCAGGGGTGCAAGGGCTGACAGCAGGGGTGCACGGGTGGGAAGCAGGGGTGCAAGGGCTGACAGCAGGGGTGCACGGGTGGGAAGCAGGGGTGCAAGGGCTGACAGCAGGGGTGCACGGGTGGGAAGCAGGGGTGCAAGGGCTGACAGCAGGGGTGCACGGGTGGGAAGCAGGGGTGCAAGGGCTGACAGCAGGGGTGCACGGGTGGGAAGCAGGGGTGCAAGGGTTGACAGCAGGGGTGCACGGGTGGGAAGCAGGGGTGCAAGGGCTGACAGCAGGGGTGCACGGGTGGGAAGCAGGGGTGCAAGGGCTGACAGCAGGGGTGCACGGGTGGGAAGCAGGGGTGCAAGGGCTGACAGCAGGGGTGCACGGGTGGGAAGCAGGGGTGCAAGGGCTGACAGCAGGGGTGCACGGGTGGGAAGCAGGGGTGCAAGGGCTGACAGCAGGGGTGCACGGGTGGGAAGCAGGGGTGCAAGGGCTGACAGCAGGGGTGCACGGGTGGGAAGCAGGGGTGCACGGGCTGACAGCAGGGGTGCACGGGTGGGAAGCAGGGGTGCAAGGGCTGACAGCAGGGGTGCACGGGTGGGAAGCAGGGGTGCAAGGGCTGACAGCAGGGGTGCACGGGTGGGAAGCAGGGGTGCAAGGGCTGACAGCAGGGGTGCACGGGTGGGAAGCAGGGGTGCAAGGGCTGACAGCAGGGGTGCACGGGTGGGAAGCAGGGGTGCAAGGGCTGACAGCAGGGGTGCACGGGTGGGAAGCAGGGGTGCAAGGGCTGACAGCAGGGGTGCACGGGTGGGAAGCAGGGGTGCAAGGGCTGACAGCAGGGGTGCACGGGTGGGAAGCAGGGGTGCAAGGGCTGACAGCAGGGGTGCACGGGTGGGAAGCAGGGGTGCAAGGGCTGACAGCAGGGGTGCACGGGTGGGAAGCAGGGGTGCAAGGGCTGACAGCAGGGGTGCACGGGTGGGAAGCAGGGGTGCAAGGGCTGACAGCAGGGGTGCACGGGTGGGAAGCAGGGGTGCAAGGGCTGACAGCAGGGGTGCACGGGTGGGAAGCAGGGGTGCAAGGGCTGACAGCAGGGGTGCATGGGTGGGAAGCAGGGGTGCAAGGGCTGACAGCAGGGGTGCACGGGTGGGAAGCAGGGGTGCAAGGGCTGACAGCAGGGGTGCACGGGTGGGAAGCAGGGGTGCAAGGGCTGACAGCAGGGGTGCACGGGTGGGAAGCAGGGGTGCAAGGGCTGACAGCAGGGGTGCAAGGGTGGAAAGCAGGGGTGCAAGGGCTGACAGCAGGGGTGCAAGGGTGGAAAGCAGGGGTGCAAGGGCTGACAGCAGGGGTGCACGGGTGGGAAGCAGGGGTGCAAGGGCTGACAGCAGGGGTGCACGGGTGGGAAGCAGGGGTGCAAGGGCTGACAGCAGGGGTGCACGGGTGGGAAGCAGGGGTGCAAGGGCTGACAGCAGGGGTGCATGGGTGGGAAGCAGGGGTGCAAGGGCTGACAGCAGGGGTGCACGGGTGGGAAGCAGGGGTGCAAGGGCTGACAGCAGGGGTGCACGGGTGGGAAGCAGGGGTGCAAGGGTTGACAGCAGGGGTGCACGGGTGGGAAGCAGGGGTGCAAGGGCTGACAGCAGGGGTGCACGGGTGGGAAGCAGGGGTGCAAGGGCTGACAGCAGGGGTGCACGGGTGGGAAGCAGGGGTGCAAGGGCTGACAGCAGGGGTGCACGGGTGGGAAGCAGGGGTGCAAGGGCTGACAGCAGGGGTGCACGGGTGGGAAGCAGGGGTGCAAGGGCTGACAGCAGGGGTGCACGGGTGGGAAGCAGGGGTGCAAGGGCTGACAGCAGGGGTGCACGGGTGGGAAGCAGGGGTGCAAGGGCTGACAGCAGGGGTGCACGGGTGGGAAGCAGGGGTGCAAGGGCTGACAGCAGGGGTGCACGGGTGGGAAGCAGGGGTGCACGGGCTGACAGCAGGGGTGCACGGGTGGGAAGCAGGGGTGCAAGGGCTGACAGCAGGGGTGCACGGGTGGGAAGCAGGGGTGCAAGGGCTGACAGCAGGGGTGCACGGGTGGGAAGCAGGGGTGCAAGGGCTGACAGCAGGGGTGCACGGGTGGGAAGCAGGGGTGCAAGGGCTGACAGCAGGGGTGCACGGGTGGGAAGCAGGGGTGCAAGGGCTGACAGCAGGGGTGCACGGGTGGGAAGCAGGGGTGCAAGGGCTGACAGCAGGGGTGCACGGGTGGGAAGCAGGGGTGCAAGGGCTGACAGCAGGGGTGCACGGGTGGGAAGCAGGGGTGCAAGGGCTGACAGCAGGGGTGCACGGGTGGGAAGCAGGGGTGCAAGGGCTGACAGCAGGGGTGCACGGGTGGGAAGCAGGGGTGCAAGGGCTGACAGCAGGGGTGCACGGGTGGGAAGCAGGGGTGCAAGGGCTGACAGCAGGGGTGCACGGGTGGGAAGCAGGGGTGCAAGGGCTGACAGCAGGGGTGCACGGGTGGGAAGCAGGGGTGCAAGGGCTGACAGCAGGGGTGCATGGGTGGGAAGCAGGGGTGCAAGGGCTGACAGCAGGGGTGCACGGGTGGGAAGCAGGGGTGCAAGGGCTGACAGCAGGGGTGCACGGGTGGGAAGCAGGGGTGCAAGGGCTGACAGCAGGGGTGCACGGGTGGGAAGCAGGGGTGCAAGGGCTGACAGCAGGGGTGCAAGGGTGGAAAGCAGGGGTGCAAGGGCTGACAGCAGGGGTGCAAGGGTGGAAAGCAGGGGTGCAAGGGCTGACAGCAGGGGTGCACGGGTGGGAAGCAGGGGTGCAAGGGCTGACAGCAGGGGTGCACGGGTGGGAAGCAGGGGTGCAAGGGCTGACAGCAGGGGTGCACGGGTGGGAAGCAGGGGTGCAAGGGCTGACAGCAGGGGTGCATGGGTGGGAAGCAGGGGTGCAAGGGCTGACAGCAGGGGTGCACGGGTGGGAAGCAGGGGTGCAAGGGCTGACAGCAGGGGTGCACGGGTGGGAAGCAGGGGTGCAAGGGCTGACAGCAGGGGTGCACGGGTGGGAAGCAGGGGTGCAAGGGCTGACAGCAGGGGTGCACGGGTGGGAAGCAGGGGTGCACGGGTGGGAAGCAGGGGTGCACGGGTGGGAAGCAGGGGTGCAAGGGCTGACAGCAGGGGTGCACGGGTGGGAAGCAGGGGTGCAAGGGTTGACAGCAGGGGTGCACGGGTGGGAAGCAGGGGTGCAAGGGCTGACAGCAGGGGTGCACGGGTGGGAAGCAGGGGTGCAAGGGCTGACAGCAGGGGTGCACGGGTGGGAAGCAGGGGTGCACGGGCTGACAGCAGGGGTGCACGGGTGGGAAGCAGGGGTGCAAGGGCTGACAGCAGGGGTGCACGGGTGGGAAGCAGGGGTGCAAGGGCTGACAGCAGGGGTGCACGGGTGGGAAGCAGGGGTGCAAGGGCTGACAGCAGGGGTGCACGGGTGGGAAGCAGGGGTGCAAGGGCTGACAGCAGGGGTGCACGGGTGGGAAGCAGGGGTGCACGGGCTGACAGCAGGGGTGCACGGGTGGGAAGCAGGGGTGCAAGGGCTGACAGCAGGGGTGCACGGGTGGGAAGCAGGGGTGCAAGGGCTGACAGCAGGGGTGCACGGGTGGGAAGCAGGGGTGCAAGGGCTGACAGCAGGGGTGCACGGGTGGGAAGCAGGGGTGCAAGGGCTGACAGCAGGGGTGCACGGGTGGGAAGCAGGGGTGCAAGGGCTGACAGCAGGGGTGCACGGGTGGGAAGCAGGGGTGCAAGGGCTGACAGCAGGGGTGCACGGGTGGGAAGCAGGGGTGCAAGGGCTGACAGCAGGGGTGCACGGGTGGGAAGCAGGGGTGCAAGGGCTGACAGCAGGGGTGCACGGGTGGGAAGCAGGGGTGCAAGGGCTGACAGCAGGGGTGCACGGGTGGGAAGCAGGGGTGCAAGGGCTGACAGCAGGGGTGCACGGGTGGGAAGCAGGGGTGCAAGGGCTGACAGCAGGGGTGCACGGGTGGGAAGCAGGGGTGCAAGGGCTGACAGCAGGGGTGCACGGGTGGGAAGCAGGGGTGCAAGGTCTGACAGCAGGGGTGCACGGGTGGGAAGCAGGGGTGCACGGGCTGACAGCAGGGGTGCACGGGTGGGAAGCAGGGGTGCAAGGGCTGACAGCAGGGGTGCACGGGTGGGAAGCAGGGGTGCAAGGGCTGACAGCAGGGGTGCACGGGTGGGAAGCAGGGGTGCAAGGGCTGACAGCAGGGGTGCACGGGTGGGAAGCAGGGGTGCAAGGGCTGACAGCAGGGGTGCACGGGTGGGAAGCAGGGGTGCACGGGCTGACAGCAGGGGTGCACGGGTGGGAAGCAGGGGTGCAAGGGCTGACAGCAGGGGTGCACGGGTGGGAAGCAGGGGTGCAAGGGCTGACAGCAGGGGTGCACGGGTGGGAAGCAGTGGTGCAAGGGCTGACAGCAGGGGTGCACGGGTGGGAAGCAGGGGTGCAAGGGCTGACAGCAGGGGTGCACGGGTGGGAAGCAGGGGTGCAAGGGCTGACAGCAGGGGTGCACGGGTGGGAAGCAGGGGTGCAAGGGCTGACAGCAGGGGTGCACGGGTGGGAAGCAGGGGTGCAAGGGCTGACAGCAGGGGTGCACGGGTGGGAAGCAGGGGTGCAAGGGCTGACAGCAGGGGTGCACGGGTGGGAAGCAGGGTTGCAAGGGCTGACAGCAGGGGTGCACGGGTGGGAAGCAGGGGTGCAAGGGCTGACAGCAGGGGTGCACGGGTGGGAAGCAGGGGTGCACGGGCTGACAGCAGGGGTGCACGGGTGGGAAGCAGGGGTGCAAGGGCTGACAGCAGGGGTGCACGGGTGGGAAGCAGGGGTGCAAGGGCTGACAGCAGGGGTGCACGGGTGGGAAGCAGTGGTGCAAGGGCTGACAGCAGGGGTGCACGGGTGGGAAGCAGGGGTGCAAGGGCTGACAGCAGGGGTGCACGGGTGGGAAGCAGGGGTGCAAGGGCTGACAGCAGGGGTGCACGGGTGGGAAGCAGGGGTGCAAGGGCTGACAGCAGGGGTGCACGGGTGGGAAGCAGGGGTGCAAGGGCTGACAGCAGGGGTGCACGGGTGGGAAGCAGGGGTGCAAGGGCTGACAGCAGGGGTGCACGGGTGGGAAGCAGGGGTGCAAGGGCTGACAGCAGGGGTGCACGGGTGGGAAGCAGGGGTGCAAGGGCTGACAGCAGGGGTGCACGGGTGGGAAGCAGGGGTGCAAGGGCTGACAGCAGGGGTGCACGGGTGGGAAGCAGGGGTGCAAGGGCTGACAGCAGGGGTGCACGGGTGGGAAGCAGGGGTGCAAGGGCTGACAGCAGGGGTGCACGGGTCGGAAGCAGGGGTGCAAGGGCTGACAGCAGGGGTGCACGGGTGGGAAGCAGGGGTGCAAGGGCTGACAGCAGGGGTGCACGGGTGGGAAGCAGGGGTGCAAGGGCTGACAGCAGGGGTGCACGGGTGGGAAGCAGGGGTGCAAGGGGTGACAGCAGGGGTGCACGGGTGGGAAGCAGGGGTGCACGGGTGGGAAGCAGGGGTGCACGGGTGGGAAGCAGGGGTGCACGGGTGGGAAGCAGGGGTGCACGGGTGGGAAGCAGGGGTGCACGGGTGGGAAGCAGGGGTGCAAGGGCTGACAGCAGGGGTGCACGGGTGGGAAGCAGGGGTGCAAGGGCTGACAGCAGGGGTGCACGGGTGGGAAGCAGGGGTGCAAGGGCTGACAGCAGGGGTGCACGGGTGGGAAGCAGGGGTGCAAGGGCTGACAGCAGGGGTGCACGGGTGGGAAGCAGGGGTGCAAGGGCTGACAGCAGGGGTGCACGGGTGGGAAGCAGGGTTGCAAGGGCTGACAGCAGGGGTGCACGGGTGGGAAGCAGGGGTGCAAGGGCTGACAGCAGGGGTGCACGGGTGGGAAGCAGGGGTGCACGGGCTGACAGCAGGGGTGCACGGGTGGGAAGCAGGGGTGCAAGGGCTGACAGCAGGGGTGCACGGGTGGGAAGCAGGGGTGCAAGGGCTGACAGCAGGGGTGCACGGGTGGGAAGCAGTGGTGCAAGGGCTGACAGCAGGGGTGCACGGGTGGGAAGCAGGGGTGCAAGGGCTGACAGCAGGGGTGCACGGGTGGGAAGCAGGGGTGCAAGGGCTGACAGCAGGGGTGCACGGGTGGGAAGCAGGGGTGCAAGGGCTGACAGCAGGGGTGCACGGGTGGGAAGCAGGGGTGCAAGGGCTGACAGCAGGGGTGCACGGGTGGGAAGCAGGGGTGCAAGGGCTGACAGCAGGGGTGCACGGGTGGGAAGCAGGGGTGCAAGGGCTGACAGCAGGGGTGCACGGGTGGGAAGCAGGGGTGCAAGGGCTGACAGCAGGGGTGCACGGGTGGGAAGCAGGGGTGCAAGGGCTGACAGCAGGGGTGCACGGGTGGGAAGCAGGGGTGCAAGGGCTGACAGCAGGGGTGCACGGGTGGGAAGCAGGGGTGCAAGGGCTGACAGCAGGGGTGCACGGGTCGGAAGCAGGGGTGCAAGGGCTGACAGCAGGGGTGCACGGGTGGGAAGCAGGGGTGCAAGGGCTGACAGCAGGGGTGCACGGGTGGGAAGCAGGGGTGCAAGGGCTGACAGCAGGGGTGCACGGGTGGGAAGCAGGGGTGCAAGGGGTGACAGCAGGGGTGCACGGGTGGGAAGCAGGGGTGCACGGGTGGGAAGCAGGGGTGCACGGGTGGGAAGCAGGGGTGCACGGGTGGGAAGCAGGGGTGCACGGGTGGGAAGCAGGGGTGCACGGGTGGGAAGCAGGGGTGCACGGGTGGGAAGCAGGGGTGCACGGGTGGGAAGCAGGGGTGCACGGGTGGGAAGCAGGGGTGCACGGGTGGGAAGCAGGGTGCACGGGTGGGAAGCAGGGGTGCACGGGTGGGAAGCAGGGGTGCACGGGTGGGAAGCAGGGGTGCACGGGTGGGAAGCAGGGTGCACGGGTGGGAAGCAGGGGTGCACGGGTGGGAAGCAGGGGTGCACGGGTGGGAAGCAGGGGTGCACGGGTGGGAAGCAGGGGTGCACGGGTGGGAAGCAGGGGTGCACGGGTGGGAAGCAGGGGTGCACGGGTGGGAAGCAGGGGTGCACGGGTGGGAAGCAGGGGTGCACGGGTGGGAAGCAGGGGTGCACGGGTGGGAAGCAGGGGTGCACGGGTGGGAAGCAGGGGTGCACGGGTGGGAAGCAGGGGGTGCACGGGTGGGAAGCAGGGGTGCACGGGTGGGAAGCAGGGGTGCACGGGTGGGAAGCAGGGGTGCACGGGTGGGAAGCAGGGGTGCACGGGTGGGAAGCAGGGGTGCACGGGTGGGAAGCAGGGGTGCACGGGTGGGAAGCAGGGGTGCACGGGTGGGAAGCAGGGGTGCACGGGTGGGAAGCAGGGGTGCACGGGTGGGAAGCAGGGGTGCACGGGTGGGAAGCAGGGGTGCACGGGTGGGAAGCAGGGGTGCACGGGTGGGAAGCAGGGGTGCACGGGTGGGAAGCAGGGGTGCACGGGTGGGAAGCAGGGGTGCACGGGTGGGAAGCAGGGTGCACGGGTGGGAAGCAGGGGTGCACGGGTGGGAAGCAGGGGTGCACGGGTGGAAGCAGGGGTGCACGGGTGGGAAGCAGGGGTGCACGGGTGGGAAGCAGGGGTGCACGGGTGGGAAGCAGGGGTGCACGGGTGGGAAGCAGGGGTGCACGGGTGGGAAGCAGGGGTGCACGGGTGGGAAGCAGGGGTGCACGGGTGGGAAGCAGGGGTGCACGGGTGGGAAGCAGGGGTGCACGGGTGGGAAGCAGGGGTGCACGGGTGGGAAGCAGGGGTGCACGGGTGGGAAGCAGGGGTGCACGGGTGGGAAGCAGGGGTGCACGGGTGGGAAGCAGGGGTGCACGGGTGGGAAGCAGGGGTGCAACGGGTGGGAAGCAGGGGTGCCACGGGTGGGAAGCAGGGGTGCACGGGTGGGAAGCAGGGGTGCACGGGTGGGAAGCAGGGGTGCACGGGTGGGAAGCAGGGGTGCACGGGTGGGAAGCAGGGGTGCACGGGTGGGAAGCAGGGGTGCACGGGTGGGAAGCAGGGGTGCACGGGTGGGAAGCAGGGGTGCACGGGTGGGAAGCAGGGGTGCACGGGTGGGAAGCAGGGGTGCACGGGTGGGAAGCAGGGGTGCACGGGTGGGAAGCAGGGGTGCACGGGTGGGAAGCAGGGGTGCACGGGTGGGAAGCAGGGGTGCACGGGTGGGAAGCAGGGGTGCACGGGTGGGAAGCAGGGGTGCACGGGTGGGAAGCAGGGGTGCACGGGTGGGAAGCAGGGGTGCACGGGTGGGAAGCAGGGGTGCACGGGTGGGAAGCAGGGGTGCACGGGTGGGAAGCAGGGGTGCACGGGTGGGAAGCAGGGGTGCACGGGTGGGAAGCAGGGGTGCACGGGTGGGAAGCAGGGGTGCACGGGTGGGAAGCAGGGGTGCACGGGTGGGAAGCAGGGGTGCACGGGTGGGAAGCAGGGGTGCACGGGTGGGAAGCAGGGGTGCACGGGTGGGAAGCAGGGGTGCACGGGTGGGAAGCAGGGGTGCACGGGTGGGAAGCAGGGGTGCACGAGGGTGGGAAGCAGGGGTGCACGGGTGGGGGAAGCATGGGTGCACGGGTGGGAAGCAGGGGTGCAAGGGTGGGAAGCAGGGGTGCAGAGGGTGGGAAGCAGGGGTGCCCGGGTGGGAAGCAGGGGTGCACTGGGTGGGAAGCAGGGGTGCACGGGTGGGAAGCATGGGTGCACGGGTGGGAAGAAGGGGTGCACGGGTGGGAAGCAGGGGTGCACGGGTGGGAAGCAGGGGTGCACGGGTGGAAGCAGGGGTGCACGGGTGGGAAGCAGGGGTGCACGGGTGGGAAGCAGGGTGCACGGTGGAAGCGGGGTGCACGGGTGGAAGCAGGGGTGCACGGGTGGGAAGCAGGGGTGCACGGGTGGGACAGCACGAGCGGTTGCACGGTTGGGAAGCAGGGGTGCACGGGTGGGAAGCAGGGGTGCACGGGTGGGAAGCAGGGGTGCAGGGTGGGAAGCAGGGGTGCACGGGTGGGAAGCAGGGCGTGCACGGGTGGGAAGCAGGGGTGCACGGGTGGGAAGCAGGGGTGCACGGGTGGGAAGCAGGGTGCACGGGTGGGAAGCAGGGGTGCACGGGTGGGAAGCAGGGGTGCACGGGTGGGAAGCAGGGGTGCACGGGTGGGAAGCAGGGGTGCACGGGTGGGAAGCAGGGTGTGCACGGGTGGGAAGCAGGGGTGCACGGGTGGGAAGCCAGGGGTGCACGGGTGGGACGCAGGGGGTGCACGGGTGGGAAGCAGGGGTGCACGGGTGGGAAGCAGGGGTGCACGGGTGGGAAGCAGGGGTGCACGGGTGGGAAGCAGGGGTGCACGGTGGGAAGCAGGGGTGCACGGGTGGGAAGCAGGGGTGCACGTGGTGGGAAGCAGGGGTGCACGGGTGGAAGCAGGGGTGCACGGGTGGGAAGCAGGGTGCACGGGTGGGAAGCAGGGGGTGCACGGGTGGGAAGCAGGGGTGCACGGGGTGGGAAGCAGGGGTGCACGGGTGGGAAGCAGGGGTGGCACGGGTGGGCATGGGGTGCACGGGTGGGAAGCAGGGGTGCACGGGTGGGAAGCAGGGGTGCACGGGTGGGAAGCAGGGGTGCACGGGTGGGAAGCAGGGGTGCACGGGTGGGAAGCAGGGGTGCAAAGGGGTGCACGGGTGGGAAGCAGGGGTGCACGGGTGGGAAGCAGGGGTGCACGGGTGGGAAGCAGGGGTGCACGGGTGGGAAGCAGGGGTGCACGGGTGGGAAGCAGGGGTGCACGGGTGGGAAGCAGGGGTGCACGGGTGGGAAGCAGGGGTGCACGGGTGGGAAGCAGGGGTGCACGGGTGGGAAGCAGGGGTGCACGGGTGGGAAGCAGGGGTGCACGGGTGGGAAGCAGGGGTGCACGGGTGGGAAGCAGGGGTGCACGGGTGGGAAGCAGGGGTGCACGGGTGGGAAGCAGGGGTGCACGGGTGGGAAGCAGGGGTGCACGGGTGGGAAGCAGGGGTGCACGGGTGGGAAGCAGGGGTGCACGGGTGGGAAGCAGGGGTGCACGGGTGGGAAGCAGGGGTGCACGGGTGGGAAGCAGGGGTGCACGGGTGGGAAGCAGGGGTGCACGGGTGGGAAGCAGGGGTGCACGGGTGGGAAGCAGGGGTGCACGGGTGGGTGAAGCAGGGTGCACGGGTGGGAAGCAGGGGTGCACGGGTGGAAGCAGGGGTGCACGGGTGGGAAGCAGGGGTGCACGGGTGGGAAGCAGGGGTTGCACGGTTGGGAAGCAGGGGTGCACGGGTGGGAAGCAGGGGTGCACGGGTGGGAAGCAGGGGTGCACGGGTGGGAAGCAGGGGTGCACGGGTGGAAGCAGGGGTGCACGGGTGGGAAGCAGGGTGCACGGTGGGAAGCAGGGGTGCACGGGTGGGAAGCAGGGGTGCAACGGGTGGGAAGCAGGGGTGCACGGGTGGGAAGCAGGGGTGCACGGGTGGGAAGCAGGGGTGCCACGGGTGGGAAGGGAAGCAGGGGTGCACGGGTGGGAAGCAGGGGTGCACGGGTGGGAAGCAGGGGTGCACGGGTGGGAAGCAGGGGTGCACGGGTGGGAAGCAGGGGTGCACGGGTGGGAAGCAGGGGTGCACGGGTGGGAAGCAGGGGTGCACGGGTGGGAAGCAGGGGTGCACGGGTGGGAAGCAGGGGTGCACGGGTGGGAAGCAGGGGTGCACGGGGTGGGGAAGCAGGGGTGCACGGGTGGGAAGCAGGGGTGCACGGGTGGGAAGCAGGGGTGCACGGGTGGGAAGCAGGGGTGCACGGGTGGGAAGCAGGGGTGCACGGGTGGGAAGCAGGGGTGCACGGGTGGAAGCAGGGGTGCACGGGTGGGAAGCAGGGGTGCACGGGTGGGAAGCAGGGGTGCACGGGTGGGAAGCAGGGGTGCACGGGTGGGAAGCAGGGGTGCACGGGTGGGAAGCAGGGGTGCACGGGTGGGAAGCAGGGGTGCACGGGTGGGAAGCAGGGGTGCACGGGTGGGAAGCAGGGGTGCACGGGTGGGAAGCAGGGGTGCAAGGGTGGGAAGCAGGGGTGCACGGGTGGGAAGCAGGGGTGCACGGGTGGAAGCAGGGGTGCACGGGTGGGAAGCAGGGGTGCACGGGTGGGAAGCAGGGGTGCACGGGTGGGAAGCAGGGGTGCACGGGTGGGAAGCAGGGGTGCACGGTGGGAAGCAGGGGTGCACGGGTGGGAAGCAGGGGTGCACGGGGTGGGAAGCAGGGTGCACGGGTGGGAAGCAGGGGTGCACGGGTGGGAAGCAGGGGTGCACGGGTGGGAAGCAGGGTGCACGGTGGGAAGCAGGGGTGCACGGGTGGGAAGCAGGGGGTGCACGGGTGGGAAGCAGGGGTGCACGGGTGGGAAGCAGGGTGCACGGGTGGGAAGCAGGGGTGCACGGGTGGGAAGCAGGGGTGCACGGGTGGGAAGCAGGGGTGCACGGGTGGGAAGCAGGGTGCACGGGTGGAAGCAGGGGTGCACGGGTGGGAAGCAGGGGTGCACGGGTGGGAAGCAGGGGTGCACGGGGTGGAAGCCGGGGTGCAACGGGGTGGGAAGCAGGGGTGCACGGGTGGGAAGCAGGGGTGCACGGGTGGGAAGCAGGGGTGCACGGGTGGGAAGCAGGGGTGCACGGGTGGGAAGCAGGGGTGCACGGGTGGGAAGCAGGGGTGCACGGGTGGAAGCAGGGCGTGCACGGGTGGGAAGCAGGGGTGCACGGTGGGAAGCAGGGGTGCACGGGTGGGAAGCAGGGGTGCACGGGTGGGAAGCAGGGGTGCACGGGTGGGAAGCAGGGGTGCACGGGTGGGAAGCAGGGGTGCACGGGTGGGAAGCAGGGGTGCACGGGTGGGAAGCAGGGGTGCACGGGTGGGAAGCAGGGGTGCACGGGTGGGAAGCAGGGGTGCACGGTGGGAAGCAGGGGTGCACGGGTGGGAAGCAGGGGTGCACGGGTGGGAAGCAGGGGTGCACGGTGAAGGGAAGCAGGGGTGCACGGGTGGGAAGCAGGGGTGCACGGGTGGGAAAGCAGGGTGCACGGGTGGGAAGCAGGGGTGCACGGGTGGGAAGCAGGGGTGCACGGGTGGGAAGCAGGGGTGCACGGGTGGGAAGCAGGGGTGCACGGGTGGGAAGCAGGGGTGCACGGGTGGGAAGCAGGGGTGCACGGGTGGGAAGCAGGGGTGCACGGGTGGGAAGCAGGGGTTGCACGGGTGGGAAGCAGGGGTGCACGGGTGGGAAGCAGGGGTGCACGGGTGGGAAGCAGGGGTGCACGGGTGGGAAGCAGGGGTGCACGGGTGGGAAGCAGGGGTGCACGGGTGGGAAGCCGGGAGTGCACGGGTGGGAAGCAGGGGTGCACGGGTGGGGAAGCAGGGGTGCACGGGTGGGAAGCAGGGGTGCCGGGTGGGAAGCAGGGGTGCACGGGTGGGAAGCAGGGGTGCACGGGTGGGAAGCAGGGTGCACGGGTGGGAAGCAGGGGTGCACGGGTGGGAAGCAGGGGTGCACGGGTGGGAAGCAGGGGTGCACGGGTGGGAAGCAGGGGTGCACGGGTGGGAAGCAGGGGTGCACCGGGGGTGGGAAGCAGGGGTGCACGGGTGGGAAGCAGGGGTGCACGGGTGGGAAGCAGGGGTGCACGGGTGGGAAGCAGGGGTGCACGGTGGGAAGCAGGGGTGCACGGGTGGGAAGCAGGGGTGCACGGGTGGGAAGCAGGGGTGCACGGGTGGGAAGCAGGGGTGCACGGGTGGGAAGCAGGGGGTGCACGGGTGGGAAGCAGGGGTGCACGGGTGGGAAGCAGGGGTGCACGGGTGGGAAGCAGGGGTGCACGGGTGGGAAGCAGGGGTGCACGGGTGGAAGCAGGGGTGCACGGGTGGGAAGCAGGGGTGCACGGGTGGGAAGCAGGGGCACGGGTGGGAAGCAGGGTGTGCACGGGGTGGGAAGCAGGGGTGCACGGGTGGGAAGCAGGGGTGCACGGGTGGGAAGCAGGGGTGCACGGGTGGGAAGCAGGGGTGCACGGGTGGGAAGCAGGGGTGCAGGAGGGAAGCAGGGAGTGCCCTGGGTGGAGCAGGGTGCACGGGTGGGAAGCAGGGGTGCACGGGTGGGAAGCAGGGGTGCACGGGTGGGAAGCAGGGGTGCACGGGTGGGAAGCAGGGGTGCACGGGTGGGAAGCAGGGGTGCACGGGTGGGAAGGCAGGGGTGCACGGGTGGGAAGCAGGGGTGCACGGGTGGGAAGCAGGGGTGCACGGGTGGGAAGCAGGGGTGCAACGGGTGGGAAGCAGGGGTGCCACGGGGGAAGCAGGGTGCACGGGTGGGAAGCAGGGGTGCACGGGTGGGAAGCAGGGGTGCACGGGTGGAAGCAGGGGTGCACGGGTGGGAAGCAGGGGTTGCACGGGTGGGAAGCAGGGGTGCACGGGTGGGAAGCAGGGGTGCAGGGTGGGAAGCAGGGGTGCACGGGTGGGAAGCAGGGGTGCACGGGTGGGAAGCAGGGGTGCACGGGTGGGAAGCAGGGGTGCACGGGTGGGAAGCAGGGGTGCACGGGTGGGAAGCAGGGGTGCACGGGTGGGAAGCAGGGGTGCACGGGTGGGAAGCAGGGGTGCACGGGTGGGAAGCAGGGGTGCACGGGTGGGAAGCAGGGGTGCACGGGTGGGAAGCAGGGGTGCACGGGTGGGAAGCAGGGTGGCACGGGTGGGAAGCAGGGGTGCACGGGTGGGAAGCAGGGGTGCACCGGGTGGGAAGCAGGGGTGCACGGGTGGGAAGCAGGGGTGCACGGGTGGGAAGCAGGGGTGCACGGGTGGGAAGCAGGGTGCACGGGTGGGAAGCAGGGGTGCACGGGTGGGAAGCAGGGGTGCACGGGTGGGAAGCAGGGGTGCACGGGTGGGAAGCAGGGGTGCACGGGTGGGAAGCAGGGGTGCACGGGTTGGGAAGCAGGGGTGCACGGGTGGGAAGCAGGGGTGCACGGGTGGGAAGCAGGGGTGCACGGGTGGGAAGCAGGGGTGCACGGGTGGGAAGCAGGGGTGCACGGGTGGGAAGCAGGGGTGCACGGGTGGGAAGCAGGGGTGCACGGGTGGGAAGCAGGGGTGCACGGGTGGGAAGCAGGGGTGCACGGGTGGGAAGCAGGGGTGCACGGGTGGGAAGCAGGGGTGCACGGGTGGGAAGCAGGGGTGCACGGGTGGGAAGCAGGGGTGCACGGGTGGGAAGCAGGGGTGCACGGGTGGGAAGCAGGGGTGCACGGGTGGGAAGCAGGGGTGCACGGGTGGGAAGCAGGGGTGCACGGGTGGGAAGCAGGGGTGCACGGGTGGGAAGCAGGGGTGCACGGGTGGGAAGCAGGGGTGCACGGGTGGGAAGCAGGGGTGCACGGGTGGGAAGCCAGGGGTGCACGGGTGGGAAGCAGGGGTGCACGGGTGGGAAGCAGGGGTGCACGGGTGGGAAGCAGGGGTGCACGGGTGGGAAGCAGGGGGTGCACGGGTGGGAAGCAGGGGTGCACGGGTGGGAAGCAGGGGTGCACGGGTGGGAAGCAGGGGTGCACGGGTGGGAAGCAGGGGGTGCACGGGTGGGAAGCAGGGGTGCACGGTGGGAAGCAGGGGTGCACGGGTGGGAAGCAGGGGTGCACGGGTGGGAAGCAGGGGTGCACGGGTGGGAAGCAGGGGTGCACGGGTGGGAAGCAGGGGTGCACGGGTGGGAAGCAGGGGTGCACGGGTGGGAAGCAGGGGTGCACGGGTGGGAAGCAGGGGTGCACGGGTGGGAAGCAGGGGTGCACGGGTGGGAAGCAGGGGTGCACGGGTGGGAAGCAGGGGGTGCACGGGTGGGAAGCAGGGGTGCACGGGTGGGAAGCAGGGGTGCACGGGTGGGAAGCAGGGGTGCACGGGTGGGAAGCAGGGGTGCACGGGTGGGAAGCAGGGGTGCACGGGTGGGAAGCAGGGGTGCACGGGTGGGAAGCAGGGGTGCACGGGTGGGAAGCAGGGGTGCACGGGTGGGAAGCAGGGGTGCACGGGTGGGAAGCAGGGGTGCACGGGTGGGAAGCAGGGGTGCACGGGTGGGAAGCAGGGGTGCACGGGTGGGAAGCAGGGGTGCACGGGTGGGAAGCAGGGGTGCACGGGTGGGAAGCAGGGGTGCACGGGTGGGAAGCAGGGGTGCACGGGTGGGAAGCAGGGGTGCACGGGTGGGAAGCAGGGGTGCACGGGTGGGAAGCAGGGGTGCACGGGTGGGAAGCAGGGTGCACGGGTGGGAAGCAGGGGTGCACGGGTGGGAAGCAGGGGTGCACGGGTGGGAAGCAGGGGTGCACGGGTGGGAAGCAGGGGTGCACGGGTGGGAAGCAGGGGTGCACGGGTGGGAAGCAGGGGTGCACGGGTGGGAAGCAGGGGTGCACGGGTGGGAAGCAGGGGTGCACGGGTGGGAAGCAGGGGTGCACGGGTGGGAAGCAGGGGTGCACGGGTGGGAAGCAGGGGTGCACGGGTGGGAAGCAGGGGTGCACGGGTGGGAAGCAGGGGTGCACGGGTGGGAAGCAGGGGTGCACGGGTGGGAAGCAGGGGTGCACGGGTGGGAAGCAGGGGTGCACGGGTGGGAAGCAGGGGTGCACGGGTGGGAAGCAGGGGTGCACGGGTGGGAAGCAGGGGTGCACGGGTGGGAAGCAGGGGTGCACGGGTGGGAAGCAGGGGTGCACGGGTGGGAAGCAGGGGTGCACGGGTGGGAAGCAGGGGTGCACGGGTGGGAAGCAGGGGTGCACGGGGTGGGAAGCAGGGGTGCACGGGTGGGAAGCAGGGGTGCACGGGTGGGAAGCAGGGGTGCACGGGTGGGAAGCAGGGGTGCACGGGTGGGAAGCAGGGGTGCACGGGTGGGAAGCAGGGGTGCACGGGTGGGAAGCAGGGGTGCACGGGTGTTCCGGGTGGGAAGCAGGGGTGCACGGGTGGGAAGCAGGGGTGCACGGGTGGGAAGCAGGGGTGCACGGGTGGGAAGCAGGGGTGCACGGGTGGGAAGCAGGGGTGCACGGGTGGGAAGCAGGGGTGCACGGGTGGGAAGCAGGGGTGCACGGGTGGGAAGCAGGGGTGCACGGGTGGGAAGCAGGGGTGCACGGGTGGGAAGCAGGGGTGCACGGGTGGGAAGCAGGGGTGCACGGGTGGGAAGCAGGGGTGCACGGGTGGGAAGCAGGGGTGCACGGGTGGGAAGCAGGGGTGCACGGGTGGGAAGCAGGGGTGCACGGGTGGGAAGCAGGGGTGCACGGGTGGGAAGCAGGGGTGCACGGGTGGGAAGCAGGGGAAGCAGTGCGGGACCAGACGAAACAGTGACAATTTGAATTCACATTAGCCGAGGGTATGAGAGGAGTGGGTGATATGAAAGGAGTGGGAAGTTTGGAACGAGGGTATAGGGATATGAGAGGAGCAGGGGGTATGAGGGGACTGTGGGGTATGAGAGGAGTTGGGTGAAGCAGGGAAGGGGACGGGGGGAAGCAGGGATGGGGATTGGGGGACGCAGGGAAGGGGATGGGGGGAAGCAGGGAAGGGGACGGGGGGAAGCAGGGAAGGGGATTGGGGGACGCAGGGAAGGGGATGGGGGGAAGCAGGGAAGGGGACGGGGGGAAGCAGGGAAGGGGATTGGGGGACGCAGGGAAGGGGATGGGGGGAAGCAGGGAAGGGGACGGGGGGAAGCAGGGAAGGGGATTGGGGGACGCAGGGAAGGGGATGGGGGGAAGCAGGGAAGGGGATGGGGGGAAGCAGGGAAGGGGATGGGGGGAAGCAGGGAAGGGGATGGGGGGAAGCAGGGAAGGGGATGGGGGGAAGCAGGGAAGGGGATGGGGGGGAAGCAGGGAAGGGGATGGGGGGAAGCAGGGAAGGGGATGGGGGGAAGCAGGGAAGGGGATGGGGGGAAGCAGGGAAGGGGATGAGGGGAAGAAGGGAAGGGGAGGGGGGGAAGCAGGGAAGGGGATGGGGGGGGAAGCAGGGAAGGGGATGGGGGGAAGCAGGGAAGGGGATGGGGGGAAGCAAGGAAGGGGATGGGGGGAAGCAGGGAAGCGGATGGGGGGGGAAGCAGGGAAGGGGATGGGGGGGGAAGCAGGGAAGGGGATGGGGGGAAGCAGGGAAGGGGATGGGGGGAAGCAGGGAAGGGGATGAGGGGAAGCAGGGAAGGGGAGGGGGGGAAGCAGGGAAGGGGATGGGGGGGGAAGCAGGGAAGGGGATGGGGGGGAGCAAGGAAGGGGATGGGGGGAAGCAGGGAAGGGGATGGGGGGGGAAGCAGGGAAGGGGATGGGGGGGGAAGCAGGGAAGGGGATGGGGGGAAGCAGGGAAGGGGATGAGGGGAAGCAGGGAAGGGGATGGGGGGAAGCAGGGAAGGGGATGGGGGGGGAAGCAGGGAAGGGGATGGGGGGAAGCAGGGAAGGGGATGGGGGGAAGCAAGGAAGGGGATGGGGGGAAGCAGGGAAGGGGATGGGGGGGGAAGCAGGGAAGGGGATGGGGGGGGAAGCAGGGAAGGGGATGGGGGGAAGCAGGGAAGGGGATGAGGGGAAGCAGGGAAGGGGATGAGGGGAAGAAGGGAAGGGGAGGGGGGGAAGCAGGGAAGGGGATGGGGGGGGAAGCAGGGAAGGGGATGGGGGGAAGCAAGGAAGGGGATGGGGGGAAGCAGGGAAGGGGATGGGGGGGGAAGCAGGGAAGGGGATGGGGGGGAAAGCAGGGAAGGGGATTGGGGGAAGCAGGGAAGGGGATGAGGGGAAGCAGGGAAGCGGAGGGGGGGAAGCATCGAAGGGGATGGGGGTAAGCAGGGAAGGGGACGGGGGGAAGCAGGGAAGGGGATTGGGGGACGCAGGGAAGGGGATGGGGGGAAGCAGGGAAGGGGATGGGGGGAAGCAGGGAAGGGGATGGGGGGTAGCAGGGAAGGGGATGGGGGTAGCAGGGAAGGGAATGGGGAGAAGCAGGGAAGGGGATGTGGGGTAGCTTACCTCTCCCTCTGTCCTTGCCCCCCTCTGTCCCTCCCCCACTTTTCTTACCCCCTTCTGTCACTCCGCTTCTCTGTCCCGGATGGAAACGCGGATGACGAGGGGAAGCGCGAGTAACAGGGAGGCAAGGGCGATGAGGGGAAGCGCGAGCGACGAGAGGGAATGTCGGTGACTAAGGGAGGTGAGGGCGGCGAGGATCGGTGCGGGTCGACGAGGGTGATGAGGGGTGCGCGGGTGACGATCTGAAGCGTGGTATGTTCACTATCAGCGATTGCGACGAGGGGATGTGTGGTTGACGTGGGAAAGCGCGGGCGACTAGGGGAACATATGCGACCAGAAGGTCCGCGAGGGTGACGAGGGAAAGCGCGGGCGACGAGGAAAGCGGTCTGACGTGGTCGACGAGGGGGAACATATGCGACTAACGGCATCGTGCGTCACGCGAACCTGTACGGCATTCGCGTGAGCGACCCGTGCCTAAAACGGTACGATCGTGACACGAGGCTGAACCACAGCAAGTGTGACAAGAGCCTGCGTGTGCGACGCGAGCTTGAATGCAAGACGGGAGTAACGCGAACATCGTTCTCTAACGTGTGTGCCGCGGGTGAACGGGTTGTAACACGAAACTGGTGACGTGAGGGGGAGATCGGAGCGTGCACTAACTAAGATGGTTGAGGTGGATACCTATATTTCTTTCCGCACAAAAAAAAAAAACCCTATCAACGACTCGCTTTTGCCAACTAGCGCTAGTTTTGCCTTGGAGCCTCCTAGTCTATGAGTACTACTTGGTAAGCAAGTTATGTGAGTGGTGAACTGTGCATATGGTTGGCGATCATCGCGTCAGTTCTGAATTTGGGCACTCGGGTTCCGTTGTCGCAGGACGATTGCCTGGGGTCGCGAGAGTTTCTTCAAAACAAGTAGGGTAACCCTGTTTTTGGCGACTTCAAGTTCAAGAATCTTGAACTTGAAAATTACCATGCTGTACTCGGGCTTAAGTCTGATATCTAGGGCACTGGTTGCAGCTGAAAGTGGTTGTAGAGAGTTGGAACAGATGGTTGTTACAACCACCAGCCTAACATTAGCCACTGCAGCACGTTACCAGTATCGACGTTACCAGTATGGAGTATTCATAATAACCTACACTGTATAACAATGACTACCACAATACAGCACAATCAGAGCGTGTCCTATGTGTACTATCAACTTCATCAGCCATCCATGCAGTCAGTCATCTCCTCAGTGCATCCTAACTCTGATTCGGAGCGGCCGCCCCAACTAATCCTACAACAAACATCTCCTCAATCGCATCATATGCAGCGATCCATGCTGCTTTCACATCACCACTCCACGTGTCACCCATAGCGCCAGCCATAGTAATCACGAAGGCATCCCTCAGTTTCTGAAAATGAACATCAGAGAATAGACAAGAGTATTAGAGGTCGGGGAAATGTGAAGACTTGCAACAGCAATACAGCACGTCATGTGCAGTACTGCAGGAGCCTGATTGCAGAGATGAAGACTGTTGGATACATTTACATACCGCAGCATGCTTGAGCTTGACTCCGTATCCAACGTGTCTCTGGCCTAGCGTTGCGAGGCTCTTTCTGTACATCTCCACCTGTTTCTCGTTGTCGAGATTCGTGGCAATGTTGACCACCTGCACAGACGCATGTCACAGCAACTTAATTTAAGAGCCCTTCCGTATGACGATCTCGACTCCCGTACGGGAACTTTGATACCCTTAAAAAACGCTCCTACCAACACTTTCTTCCCCACCCACTCACCTTCTTCAGAACAGTGGTGGCGTGTTCCTGAAGCGCCTTGTTGTCTCTCATGGGGCCCGTGTAGTCCTTGGTCATGGAGATAAGGGCCTTCGCTTCCGGCACAATCTCGAACAAACTGCCAGTGGGAGACGTCATTTTCAGCGGGTCAGCACAAGGTCAGGAGCAATTCTGCACAAATTTGAGCAGCTTCAAGCGCTAAGGGGATTGGAGCAGCTGTCAGCGACAGGAATCCAGACTCCAGGAATGTTCTGAAAAAGGTCCTTACTTGATGAAGAGCGACATGGCGTGGTACGGCACATCGGCTTGCAGCTTCGCCTTGAAGCTGTCTTTGATCAGTTGCACTTGCTCCGTGGGAAGGACGAACTCAGCGGCAGTGCCGAGCGAACCCATAGTTAAGTGACTTGGCGAGTAAGTGGTTGTATGAGCACCAGGCGACTGAGTGAGAGGGTTGTGGAATCTGGTAAGCTTCAAGTGTGATGTTATGGCGGAGGGGAGCTAAGGCGATCCCGGAAAGTACTGGTTTTGAGAGAGAGAATGAGGACGCTGATCGCGAATAGTGGGTCGCCGACAAGAACTTGAGAGAGGGATGGATTGAGATGAACTTGGATCGCCGGTGACGCCTAACTAAATACCTCGGAGTTCGGTGGTTCAGTGACCATACGGACCCTGCAAGTGACGCCTTTCATCCAAACGCGCGTCGACAAATACGAGGGAGTAGTTGAAGTAATAAAAATCACCTAGCCCTTCTAAGACCGAGAGGGCCTTCCGATAAAGAGTCAAGGGCCACACGCGACCAGAGAAAGGAGCTTCAACCCATGGTAGTTCCAAGAGTCGCTTCAGATTCAGAACCAGACGAGAATTGCAACGAGATTACGGCTAAGGTGGTCGGTGCGATCATAATCCACCAGATTCGACAAGCAAGCTCAAGGTGTGCGAAATAGAGTCGAGCCAGCCATTCAAAACACGCGGGTGGCGATGATGCGCTGTCAGGCCAGCGCTTTGCTTGGGAGAGAAGGAACTTGGCCATTGCGACTACTTCTCTGCGACACTCCCCAAAAAAGAAGACGTTCTTGCACGCGTGGAAGGTCGCCAACACACAGCCACCAGCCTAGCGGGAAAGATTTTCGGTGGCTCACGAGATGTGCCCTGCTCCGACGTGGACATCCCAAGCCCTAGGAGGCTGTCCATCGCGCCGCGACTCCAAATCCACAGCCCTCACGAGTCACGACCAGAACACAACTTGTAGCGATTGCCACGCGTCTTGCTCCAGCCTCAGCCTCACTGTGTTAGCACCTAGGGAACAGATATGTTACGATTTGGAGCGGTTCGCACTTGTTTCTGGAGTCAGCCTGCACAGTTCTAGAGAACGGGGGGGGCCACCACCACCAACATCGAGAGTAGCAACGTCAAATGGGAACCCCAGACTCAAAAAAAACAAAGAACGAGGCCTCGAAATAATGATTCAATCAGTTAATTATCGTTCTACTGTAACACAATATCCTTCAAGTGTACAGAACCGAGAGTGCGATCGACTCTTAACGACACCTTCCTGAACGCGGTTTCGTAACCTTTCGCAGCTTGAGGAGGTAGGTGACACTTGGAGGCTCCTTGGGGTGGCGTCGCCTCAGAGGCTCCGTGGGGTAGCGTCCTCACGGATCACGAAAGGTCAGCTGTACACTTCATTACATGCCTCGCGAAGCCTCAGTGATTGAAAGGTTATGCAGCCTGGTATATTGATACAGTACGTACCTGTTATGTAACTTCGATTATCACGTGGTCCGAATACTTTATTACATATGAGGTATCCCATCAGCTATAGAAAAAAACAGTTGCATGTCTTCAAAGAATGCGCAACCTGGTTTGAAATATTATTTAAAGGTCATCTGTAGGACATGCATAGGGACTGGACGAAAAGCCCATTAGCTATTGAAGGCACGATGAATAGCCTATATTGATAGAATGCCTTATCTAACTTATTGACCATGTGCTCTCAATCGTAGACGGGTTTCTCTTGCAGCCCTTCTCTGCTGCTTGTCAGCAGCATTCGATTTGGCAGATTTATTCAGCATGGCCCGAGTGTGGGCCGCTTTTGCCTGTATAGTACAGTTTGATTCACGTTGAAATGCATGGTGTAGATACGACAACGGAGAGAAACGGGATGACACAAAATGACATAGCAGCATGACACGCCAAATACAAAGTACAAAGCCTAATACGAATAAGGGAGTGGTAAACAGCATTGCGAGCACACACTCAGACTCGACGCATCAAACTCACCAGCAACTGATTCTTCCGCATGGTCGAGCTACCACCTGTGTTCGCCTCCCCGCGCAGCGACAGTGGTAGAGCGGCACTTATGGAGACGCCGGGCGGCAAAGGAAGAGGATTGGAGGGGGAGGAAGTTGCTCCAAGAGGAGGTTGTGTTTGGGAGAGAGAGAAGGCAACGTCGGATGGAGAGAAGACCATGCTGGTGGAGTCTGACGATGAAAGGAATCATATGGGACGGGGGCGGATAGGGCAGAAAAGTTCCTTGTGTGAGAAAACGGCAGGAGGTAGGAGCGGGAAGGTAAGGAGGCGAAGTAGGAGAAAAAGGTGGGAAGGGGAAGGTAGGAGGGACCGCGGGAGAAGGGTGCAACACCAAGTATTTCAGAAGGCAGTGGCCAGGCCACATCTCATGGCAGATATTTATTCACTCTGTTTTGCTCCACCCCTGCCGTGGGAATCATAAAACATGCTGCCACATAATATAATCTACCCCCTGCCACATGGCACCATATACCTCCTGCCACGTGTCACCACATACCTCCTCCACATGGCACCACATATCTACTGCCACATGGCACCACAAACCTCCTGCCACGTGGCACCATAAGCCTCCTGCCACATGGCACCACATACCTCCTGCCACGTGGCATCACGCACCTCCTGCCATGTGCAGTGCACGCATGGCCTCCATGAGATCATGCACTCCGCACCGCCCACGAAACGCATCCATCTGACCACCACCAGCAGCACCACCGCTGCCACTAGTGGCTGGATCCCTGCCGTTGCTGTTCGTGCTCCTGCTACCACTGGCATTCACGTGACCACCACTGCCATCCCCATCAACAGTGCTGCTGCTATTGCTGCTGCTGAAGCCGCTGTCTGTGACGCTGCCGCCACTGCTAGCTGCCGTTGCAGCAAGCCTCCCAATCACCCGCCGCCCACTCACTCCCCTCCCCCCATCCCCACTACCAGCAACCTCCTCTCCCTCCTCACCTGCACCTGCCATACCCTTCCTACCGGCCTTCCCCACTCCTCCCTTTTGCCCCACCCATTCGTCTTGCCTGCCTTTCCCTCTTTCTTTTCTCGCTTCCTCATCCTCAGCCTCCTCTTCCTCCCCTTCCCCGGCCACCACAGCGGCAGCCACAGCAGCGGCAGTGGCAGCGGCAGCAGCATCCGCCTCAAAATCCACATCTGCTAAAAACACCTCCTCCGCAAGCCTCCTTCCTGAAAACACTGATTCTTGCGTCAAAATCTCTTTATCTCCAACTCCTTGAAGCCCCTTCCCCAGCTTCTCACTCTTCTGCATTTTTCCTCCGTTTTCCCCATCCCCTCCCTTCTCCCCTTCTTCCCTCTCCTCCTCGTCCTTCCAGGGCCCGAAGTGAGAGTGAGAAACGGTGGAATCCTCTGCTCCCTCTCCACTTCCCCCCTCCTCATCGCCCATCAGCCCTCGCGGAGCTGAGCTGGCAGCCTCTGATTGGCTTCTGAGACTCGCTGCCCTGGCTGAGGGGTGAGCATCTGCCAGTATCTCCATCTTGAGGGTGGGGAAGCGAGCGATGGAGCCTGGGAGGGCGAGAGGGAGAAGGAAGATATGTGTCTGGGAAGAAATTAGAAGCCACTTCGCTAGCTCATCAGCTAGTATTTTCATCACGAGGGTGGGGAAGCGGGCGATGGAGCCTGGGAGGGCGAGACGAGGGAAGTGGGAGGGAATTGTCATGTGCGACTCCAATGAAGCAGGTGCCCCTTATTCATGTTTCGTTTTTTCATCTATTTACGGCGTGTTTCTATTTGTACACTCAGCTTTAGAAGCAAGCCATGCATATCTCAACATGGAAATTCACCTGAACCTGAGAAATCACCTGAGGCTGACAGCTGGACCCAGAGGGTCTGGAAGAGCCAGTACTCAACAACAGAGAAACCCTGCTGGAAATCCTGGGAAACCAACAGAGGAAGGGTCCAGAGGGGAGGGGGGTAGCGGAAGAGAGAGGAGAGTTGGTGAGAATAGTGGCAAAGAGTATGGCTGAAGAGCCCTGCTGGAAATCCCGAGAAACCAACAGGGAGGAGGCCAGAGGGAGGCTTTGGTGCGGAGCACGGAAGAGTCAAGGGCGTGAAGAGAGGAGAGATTTGGTGTGCTTCGTAGGTCAACAGAAAAGCCTTGCTGGAAATGCTGGAAAAGCAACAGAGGAGGGGGACCAGAGGGGAAGCAGAGGAAGGAGAGGGAGCAAGGGGGCATGAAGGGTGTGAAGAGAGAGGAGCATTGGTGTGCTTTGCAATGATGCGGATGGTGGCGAAAATTTTGGCTGAAAGCCGGGGCTTGGAATGACATGGGATGACCGTTGCTTAAAGTGATGGGATATGAAGGAAGGTAGGCATAGAGAGAACGAGGTGAGGGGAGAAGAGGGGAGGGGAGGGGAGGGGAGGGGAGGGGAGGGGAGGGGAGGGGAGGGGAGGGGAGGGGAGGGGAGGGGAGGGGAGGGGAGGGGAGGGGAGGGGAGGGGAGCTGGAAAGAGTGGATAACATGCGGTACCGAGTGGTGTGGCGTGGTCAGATGTGTTGGTCGACCGTGTGCTGTGCCATGTGCCCCTTGCCATATATGCTCCATGCCATGTGCCCCTCACCACACGTGCCCCTCACCACACGTGCCCCTCACCACACGTGCCCCTCACCACACGTGCCCCTCACCACAATCCACACCACCAGAGCACGCACCACAATCCACACCACCAGAGCACGCACCACAATCCACACCACCAGAGCACGCACCACAATCCACACCACCAGAGCACGCACCACAATCCACACCACCAGAGCACGCACCACAATCCACACCACCAGAGCACGCACCACAATCCACACCACCAGAGCACGCACCACAATCCACACCACCAGAGCACGCACCACAATCCACACCACCAGAGCACGCACCACAATCCACACCACCAGAGCACGCACCACAATCCACACCACCAGAGCACGCACCACAATCCACACCACCAGAGCACGCACCACAATCCACACCACCAGAGCACGCACCACAATCTTCACACACGCAGGCGCGTCCACATCCATGCCGCTCTGCCCCTCATTTCCCTCCACCTCTGCCCCCTCCTCCTCCACCTCTGCCCCCTCCTCCTCCACCTCCTCACCCCCAACCCCATCACCGCCACCATCACCAGCAGCAGCAGCAGTGACCCCCAGATTCTCCCGTGCCACGCGCCGGCCATCGCTGGTCTCCACTCTCACTCGCAGGCGGTGGCGAAACTGCTGCTGCTCCACCTGCTCTGCCTCCCAGTCCGTGAGCTTGCGAGGCAGCACTGCCATGCCATCCTTGTCCTATTCAGATGGGAGGATGGAAGGAGCGCGGAGAGAATCTGAAAGCGCCGCTGCCGTCCTCCACCTTCCATGCCCTCCGTACTGCCATGCCCTCCTTGCCCTGCTGTCACTTGGAAGGAGGGCTGAGGGAATGAGAAAGCTCCTCCCAGATGGCATGTGTGCGAGGAGCAACCTTGCTGTGCTGTACCTTCCTTGTCTTTCCATCAGAGTTCCGTTGAAACTTGGAGTGTACAATAGTTGTTAAAGATTGTGAATTACAAATTGTAACTTAATTTAACCACTGCATATGGACGAAACTGTAAACTGTATTAGCTACAATATTCATCTCACTGTACCGGGTTCATTCTCCTCTCCCTCTAACAAAAAAAGGCACTGGCAAGCACTTGAAGGAGCACCTGAGCGCATCTGAATTGGCAAATGACAATATCTGAACGAGCACCTGGTTTCAACCTCACCTGAAAGGACACCTGGCCTCACCCGAAAGAGCACCTGGTCTCACCTGAAAGAGCACCTGGCCTCACCTGAAAGAGCACCTGGCCTCACCTGAAAGAGCACCTGGCCTCACCTGAAAGAGCACCTGGCCTTGCACATCAAGGCGAGGCACGAAGAGAGTCACATAGCCATCATGAATGGAGACCACCTGAGTGGGTGTGGGGACGAGGCAGGCGGGGAGGCAAGGGGGATGCGCAGGGGTGCAGGTGGGAAGGCAGGGGGAATGCACAGCGGGGGAGGAGAGGAGGACGGAGAGGTGAGGGGGAGAGGTGGGAGGGGAGACGTTGGGAAGGAGGAGGGGGGTTGAAGAGGCGGAAAACAAATGGGCTGATCCCGCAGCAGCAGCAGCAGCAGCGGCTGGCAGTGAAAATCCCCCTCTTCCTCCTCCCCTCGCCCCCCCAAGAAACCTACCCCCCCACCCCCTTCTGCTCACCACAGCGCGCTCCACCAAGGGCTGCTTCTGCAGCAGCAGCAGGCAGCAGTGGGCAGTAAAAACACCCCCTTCCTCTCCCCCACTTCAATCGTACCCCCCCCCCACCCCCTTCTGCTCACCACAGCGCGCTCCACCAAGGGCTGATCCCGCAGCAGCAGCAGCAGGCAGAGCTCGGAGCTTCTCTTTGACGCCATCTTTGCCAGCCGGTGCTGCTTGTTCAGATGCGCCGCTAGCTGTGGGAATGGGGCGGGGGAGAAAGAGAGTGGGAAAGGGGAGGATGCAAGAGAAAGAGACAAGGGGATATGAGTCAGCACAGGCAGCAGGAGACAGAGCTCCGCGTTCCCCTTTGATGCTAGGCTTTGCCAGGCAGTGCTGCTTGTTCAGATGGGCCGCTATCTGTTGAGGGGGGGGCAAGGGAAGGAGAGGGGAAGGAGGGAAGAAGAGGGACGGAGCCGAGATCACAGGAAATGCTGTGTGAGATGGTGGACAGCGAGCAGGTGTGGCGGAGGAAATAAGGGGGAGGGGAGCTGTCAAGGGGGTTGCACGCCTGTGCATGGCACCACACCATGGTACGAGAATACGCCTGTGCTTGTGCTCGCTTGGCTCAGCGGGGAAAGGCTGCGGGAGGAGCTAGCCAGGTGGGATATGAGTGACACCTGCGTTGCTTCCTCTTTTTGTGCGCATCGTTCTCCTTTGTGGTTTGTTGATTGGTTGTTTGCTTTCTTTCGTTTCAGTTATTGTTTTGTTGGTTTGTTATTCTGTCATTTTCTTTTCTTATTTTTTTGCCTTTTGAATGTCATCACCTTGTCCCAGTCAACGCCTCGTGACTCTCGCTCCACCGTCTCCTCCCTCCTTCCGTCTCCCACCTCGCCCTCAACCCCCACTTTGTTTTGCTCCGCTCTGCCCTCCCTCCCTTCCGCTGCATCCCCCTCCCCCACCCCCACCCCCGCCCCCACCCCCGCCCCCACTCCCTCCTCCTCCCTCACTCCCTCCCCTCCCCACACTCTGGCTGCAGCACCCCACGCCTTCCTCCTCCCACCTCCTCCCCCACCCGACCGCTCTCCTCCTTCTGCCCCCCCTTCCCCTGCTCCGCCCTGTCCCCTCCCTCCATCCCCGTTTCCCTCTTCAACAGTCCCCCCCTTCCCATCCGCCCCCTGGACAGTACCTCTCCCTCCCTGCTTCCCGCCCGCCTCCCCACGATCCCGCTTCTCTTGCTGCAGTGCTGCCAGCAGCTGCCGGTGCACGAGCAGATCAGCATAGCGGCGAATGGGCGAGGTGAAGTGGGAGTAGAGGCTGGAGGGAGGGAGGGTGGATGAAGTGGTTGTGGAAGGGGGAAGGATGGGAAAGACGAGGGGAAGGAGGGGAGGGAAGAGGGAACAAAAAAGGAAAGGTGAATCAACTCAGGGCCGCCAGCAGCTGCCGATGCACCAGCAGCAGCAGGTCAGCATGTCGGCGGCAGATTGGGGAGGTGAAGTGGGAGTAGAGGCTGCAGAGAGGCAAGGGGAGAGAGAAGGACGGGAGAGGGAAGCAGGAGAGAGAGTTTATGAACTCAATGCAGCGGTGCTGCTGGGGTTCATTCAACAGCTGCTGAGTGAAGTGCCTTATGAGGCGCCTCAAATTTGCGGGTGTAGAGACGACATTTGAGGCGCCCCACAAGGAGGGTTGTATGAACTCAGAGCTGCTGCTGCTGCTGCTGCTGCTGCTGCTGCTGCTGCTGCTGCTGCTGCTGCTGCTGCTGCTGGAGATCATTCCACAACTGCTGCTCTGAGTGAAGTGCTCTGACCTGCTCTCAGCTCATTCCCATTCACCATAGCGAAGAATGGGCGAGGTGAAGTGGCAGTCAAGGCTGGGGGACCGGAGGGTGGGCAAGGAGGACGCTTCTGCACTTCTTAACAGGTACTTCTATAAGAGTGAGTGCACATGCCACTCACTCACACCAATTCGAGGGCCCAGCAAGAGGTCCTGACGCTGTCCGCTGCTGCTGCTGCTGCTGCTGGCAGATACTCCGCCTGACACTATTGTACTGTAACGAGGTAACTCGTGAGTCGACTCTAAAGGGCGAGTGCACTCACTCCACTGCCCTGCTGCCAGGTACTTCTTTTGCCCAACTGGATAATCAGCACTTTTGAGTTGATCCTGCCACACACTAAGTATAGTGACCTCGACACATGCTACTCACTCCACTGCGAGGCCGTAGTGATATGCCCCGATGCCGTCCGCTGCTGCCGATGATGCTGGTAGGTACTCCGCCTGATGTGCATGTGCATGTGGATGGCATGGGGATGGCATGGGGATGGCATGGTGATGGCATGGGGATGGCATGGGGATGGCATGGGGATGGCATGGGGATGGCATGGGGATGGCATGGGGATGGCATGGGGATGTGAACGCATGCAGGTCAATGCAAATGGTCACATGCACATGCAGGGAGAGTGAGAAACGCACAGCAGATCAGAGTCAAATGTGTGCAAGAAGTGACATGTGGGATCACGTGCTGCAGTGTAGGTGGTCAGAGAATTATAGACCAAATCACCCATGTTCAGGGTTGCAAGGTTGCAAGATGTGAGCATCCGCAAAGGAAAGGAATGAAGATGCAAGCGTGCATGATCATGGCATGTTTCCCATTCCCATGGTACCATCACATCTCATTGTAAGTCCCCAGTGTTCCTCTGACCTCTCCATGTCTCATCTGCGTGCCTCACCTCTGAGAGTGCACGCGTGCTGAGAGCCTTGAGCCCGTACTGCAGCAACAGCCACATGAGATGATGGCGCGGAAGAGACAGGAAGATACGCAGGAGACATGTGCGAAAGGGGCATGTGCGAATAGGGTAAGACAAATGTAACGCACGGCAGCAGGGGACCACAACGGGAGAATGAGCATCAAGTTCCGGGATTTTTTCGTTTTAAGAGTTCGGAAAAATTGAAGAGGGAGCCCATCAAGAGCATCCAAGGTAGCGGCAAGCGGAAGGGGAGTTAGAGAAGGAGCTTCATGAGTTGACTTCAACGGAGGGTTTGGTATGGAGCTCACATCCAGGACGGAGTCTCCCAGGTGCTTCACTGCTGCCAGCGACGCTGCTAGCACCTGTTGGGAGGGCGATGGGGAGTGATGATTATGGTTTATTGCTCAGAAGAAGGGGGGGCAGGGGAGGGGAGGAGAAGTGACGGAAGGGGAGGGGAGGGGAGGGAAGGAGAGGAGAGGACAGGAGAGGAGAAGAGAGGAGAGGAGAGGAGAGGAGAGGAGAGGAGAGGAGAGGAGAGGAGAGGAGAGGAGAGGAGAGGGGAGGAGAGGAGAGGAGAGGAGAGGAGAGGAGAGGAGAGGAGAGGAGAGGGGAGGAGAGGAGAGGAGAGGAGAGGAGAGGAGAGGAGAGGAGAGGAGAGGAGAGGAGAGGGGAGGAGAGGAGAGGAGAGGAAAAGGAGAAGATAGGAGAGAAAAGGAGAGTAGAGTATTGAAGGGAAGGGGAGGCAAGCACGATGGGCATGCAGAACATTTAAGAAAACATTCCAAGCTAGTATGATTGCTTGCATGACTCCTTGGAAAGAAACGATGTGAAAGGTTCAACATTCAGTTGCTCCATGCACCTTGGATGAATGCTGACCTTGTTTGTTGACGTTTCGAGTGCAATGCCTCGCACCGCGCAGCACTGAGAGGAGGGCACACAGAGACAAGAATAGAAGAAAGAGGTGCAACACAGGGCATCAACACACATGAAACCACTGTAGAGTTTACAGAGGCTTATATAGAATAAAAAAGTGAAAAGTTTGATGCTTGTTAGCAGGTGATCTGCATGCCATGCTGCCGTCACGCCATATCATCCACATACATGACACAGCACTCAGACAGACCTTGTTCACCCCACCATCATCCACATGCATCACATAGCACGCACACCTGCTTGACCCCACCACCCTCACATGCATGAGATGGCACCCTTAGCTCTCACGCACACTACATTCACCCCACCACCATCCACATGCATCACACAGCACAGCACGAACACCTCCTTCACCCCACCCATCACCACCCTCACATGCATGAGATGGCGGAAGCCGTTTGGGCGCGGAGGATTATGGCGCCGCAGAAAGGCGGTCGATGGGAAGGCCCTGGCTCCGTTCCAACAAACCATGATGGGGGTGGGGAAAGAAGAAGGAACGAAAGTGCAATCGAATTGCAGCGTAAGACAGGGCACGAGCATGCAACAGTGACAGAAAGAAGGTGCCAACAGCTGCCATGTGATTGTGGGCCGTGTGCGTTATGGAGGGCTATGTGGTGGGTTGGGTGTGCCAGAAATCTGTTGTGTGCGTGCAGGTTGGGGTTCTCACCGGGTGAGCTTGCGGGCGACGGCAGCATTGGCCAGCACCATGAGCTCTGCCACCACTGCGTTCATCTGATGGTGGGCACAGGGCAGGGGGGAGTGGAGAAGGAGGAGGGGCACTGGCGAATGAGGAAGGAGAATCGCACGGGATACAGCAGCATTGGAGGGCACGGCACCAAGAGCTCTGCCACCACCACATCCATCTGATGGCCAACAGCGGACAGGGAGGATGTTTTTGAGACGTCTTTTGAGTCGACTCAAAAGTCATTGAGACGTCTCAAAAACACCCTCTCAACACCACCGCGTCGATTTGATGGCCGGCAGCGGACATGGAGAGGTGAGGGAGAGAGTGCTGGAGAGTGAGGGAGGAGGATTGCATAGGAGTGAGGGACGGCGTTGGCGAGCAGTGTGAGATCTGCCACCAGAGGGGGGACGTTCAGGGGGGACGTTCAGAACCGCAGTGTTGGCGAGCAGCATGTGATGCACCGCAGGGGGGAGGGGAGGCCGTGCATTCCGTTCCGGGAGGACGACGGGGGTGTGTGGTACAACAACAGGGAGGACGAAGGGGGTGTGTGGTACAACAACAGGGAGGACGAAGGGGGTGTGTGGTACAACAACAGGGAGGACGAAGGGGGTGTGTGGTACAACAACAGGGAGGACGACGGGGGTGTGTGGTACAACAACAGGGAGGACGAAGGGGGTGTGTGGTACAACAACAGGGAGGACGAAGGGGGTGTGTGGTACAACAACAGGGAGGACGAAGGGGGTGTGTGGTACAACAACAGGGAGGACGACGGGGGTGTGTGGTACAACAACAGGGAGGACGAAGGGGGTGTGTGGTACAACAACAGGGAGGACGAAGGGGGTGTGTGGTACAACAACAGGGAGGAGAGTTGCAAGCGAGTGGAAGTGGAAGGAGGCACTGGCGAGCCTAGCATGCAGTAGATCGGTTTTGTGGATTTTTAGAACCGAGCACAGCCCCCCTTTCACCACCAACCCTTCTCACTACTTCCGGTGATATCGAGTCTAACTATAAACCCCCCCTCACCACGATCCCGGCTTTCACTAACCGGAATCTCCTGCTTGCAGAACACTCTCCTGGGCGTCCCTGTGCTCTCTTCCAACTCAAATCGCAGCTCTCGCGGCAAGCCCCAGCGCACCCACACTCGCACCACCGCCTCCCCTTCCTCACCAGCCCAGCCCACCCCACCGGGATCTCCTGCTTGCAGAATACCCGTTTGGGCGCCCCTCTGTTTTCACCAAACTCAAACCACAGCTTTCACTGCAAGCCCCAGCGCACCCGCCTTCTCACCACCGCGTCCCCTCACACTCACTCACCAACACCAACCCACCCACCGGGATCTCCTGTTTGCAGAACACTCGTGTGGGCGTCCCTCTGCTCTCATCAAACTCGAACCGCAGCTCCGCACTCGCCAGCTCCAGCGCCCCCGCCCTCTGCCTCTGCCGCCGCAGCTCCTGGGATCAGCAATGAGAAGGTGGGAGGAAAGAAGAGGGAGCCAGGCAAGGAGGGCACATAGCTCTGCTTTGCACTCACCAGCTCCAGCGCCCCTGCCAGCTGCCCCTGCCGCGCAGCTCCTGCAACTGAGTGAGTCCAGTAATGGAAGGGGGAAGGCAAGTAGCCAGATGATGGGGGGAGGAAGGAAGCCATAGGAATAATGTGGGGAAAGAACTCAAGTGCAGTTCAGAGGAATGTTGCTTACAGAGGAGGGGAAGAGGTGTGAGGCAGAGCGAGCGGCAGAAGCGGTGAAAATAGAGCTTCGGAAAGCAGGAGCCGCAGCTGAGGGCCTGGCTCGGGAGAAGGCTGCATTGGAAAAGCAGTTTCGGGAGATGCAGAGTCGGGAGGAGCGGGGTGAAGAGGAGAGGAGGGAGTTGGAAGAGGGAAAGTTCTCCCACCTCAGACCCTCTTCCAGCTCCCTCCTCTCCTCTTCACCCCGCTCCCCAACTCTGCATCTCCCGAAACTGCTCTTCCAACGCAGACTTCTCCCGAGCCAGGGCCGCAGTTGCGGCACCCGCTTCTCGAAGCTCTATTTTCACCGCTTCTGCAGCCCGCTCTGCCTCACACCTCCTCCCCTACTCTGTAAGCATCCTTCCTCTGAGCTCCATCACTTCTTCCTCCTGCAACTCAGGCTAGCCCTGAGGGCGTTGTTAGCCCTGAGGGCGTTGTTAGCCTTGAGGGCGTTGTTAGCCCTGAGGGCGTTGTTAGCCTTGAGGGCGTTGTTAGCCTTGAGGGCGTTGTTAGCCTTGAGAGCGTTGTTAGCCCTGAGGGCGTTGTTAGCCCTGAGGGCGTTGTTAGCCCTGAGGGCGTTGTTAGCCCTGAGGGCGTTGTTAGCCTTGAGGGCGTTGTTAGCTCTCTCAACCTTGCCTCTCAACCCAGCCAGCCAACCAGCGCCACATGCCCCTTGACAGTAGGTTTCATTACTGACCCGAGCAAAAGCAGTAAGAGTGGCGATGCACGTCTTGGCTCGCGCCACCTCCCTCTGCCCGCCCGCCAGTTGGTGCTCCGCTGGCAACGGGTGCACTCCGTCTGCTATGGCCTGTGCTTGTGCGTACGAGAGCTGTGCAGCGGGGCAGGGGCGGGGGGATGGAAGTGGGGGGGGGGGGAGGGGAGAGGATGGAGCATGAGTGTGCTGTGCGCCACCCCTCTCAGCCCTCCGCCAGGCGGTGTTCCGCTGGCAGCAGGTGCACTCCGCCTGCTATGGCCTGTGCCTGGGCATACGAGAGCTGTGAGAGAGGAGAGGAAGAGAGGGAGAGGAGCACGAGGGGAGAACGGAGTGTGCTGTGCCACTTCCGCTGGCAACGGATGCACTCCGTGTGCTATGGCCTGTGTCTGCACGTACGAGAGCTGCGAGGGGAGAGGGGGGTGGGAGGGGGGGTGGAAGAGGAGGGTTGAGTGGGTAACTGTGTGTCTGCTTCCTCTTCCACTCGCCTCGTCTGCCAGGTGATGTTCATACAGCAGTGGCTCCATCTGCTATGGTCTGGGCGTACGAGAGCTGCCAGAGGGGGGGATGGGGAGACGGGCGAGGGGAGTGTGGGTGTGATGTGTTTCCCCCCGCCTGCCAGGCCATGCTCCTCCAGCAGTGGATGCACTCCGCCTGCTGTGGTGTTGCCTGTGCTTGTGCATACCAGAGCAGTGGGGGGGGGAAGGGAGGGGTGAGAGGGAGGATGGGAAAGGAGGAGGAGCAGGATGGGGGAGACGTGTGTGCCACCTCTCTTGGCCTGTCTGCTGGGTGTTGTTGCTTCTACAGCAATGTACGAGAGATTTGCAGATGGGAAGGGTGAGACTGGAAGGAAGGAGGATGGGATGTGTGGGGACCATAGGGACGGGTGAGGGGGAGATCAAGACAAGCAAGCAGATAGCAATGAGAACATAGGTGAAGAGCATGGCACAACGGAGAAAAGAAACAAGAGTTGGTACACGAGAGGAGAGTCAAGAGCGTGGAATGCCGACAACGAAGCACATGAGGTGATTTCGATCATAACTGCAATTCCATTTCCACAGCACTGGTCACCTGGTGGTTGGATCGGATGACGGTTCGGCCGAACCAAGGCGGCCCCACGAGTGCGAAGTGGTGGGAGGGATCGAGCGTCCAGATGACACTCACTGCCAGCCGCGTGCGGCCTCCCAGCAATGAGCAGAGACCCTCACTGGTGGATGACAAGGGGAGGGGAGACGTGGGAAGGGGAGTGGAGGGCAAGGGAAAGGAGGGGTCTAGCGTCCAGATGACACTCACTGCCAGCCGCGTGCGTCCGCCCAGTAGGGAACAGAGACCCTCGCTGCAGTGAGGAGAGAGGAGGGGAGTGGAGCGGAGGGCAAGGAAAAAGGTTTCATTGAGAAGATGATCGTACAACGATATGGGGTTGGTTGGGGTGAAACCCCAACTGAACCTAGGGCATGTTCAGTATAGGAAAAAAACGTTTAAAACAAACCTAAACTGATTCTGAAATGAAACCAAGGTCAATTCTGGCCGAAAAAAATATTGCAAGACCAGAATAAAGTAGAGAGCGAAAACTAGCCTACTCCAGCATGGTGGTGGAAAGGGGTGAGGGAAGAAAATACAGATTGAATTCATGATGCCATGTGGTTACCTCAAGGCCTCTGGCAGCATGTTGCTCACCTGAGCGCCTCTGGTAGCATGTTGCTGCGCTGGTTGGCCAGGTACACGGATGTGCCCCTCGCCCTCGCCTCTGCATCCAATAGACTACCCGGCCGCACGAAGAACGCCACGTCTGCAATGTGCACTCCCACCTGGGGGTTTGGATGTGCCGGGGAGACAGGGAAACGAGCACACGCATCAACTCAGCACCTGCTCTGTTGTTGACTTGACGCGGCATGCACAAGTTCAACTGCAGCGGTGCCTTTGCTTTGCACTGTGGTGCTGTGGGATGTATTCTGAGGCGCCTCCAAATCCAACTCAATGCATGTGGTGCTGTGGGATTTGGAGGCAGGCAGGAAGGATCCAACGAAACGAAACATCTCCGGGAGGGAGTCCCACCAGTAGAATCTGGCAAACACCTGAAACTGACCTACCTGAAGAAACACCTGGAATAGACCCACCTGAATGAGGCCGTTGGGAAGGTGAGCAGTGGAGAGCACATCATCCACATCCCTGCTGCCAGGGGGATCGATGCTAAGGTGGAGGGAAGTGGGAAGGGGGGAGGTGGAGAGAGAGGAGGAGGGCATCAATGCAGAGAAAGGGTAATCACACAAGTTGGGGAAAAATGGGGAAGGGGAGGGAAGGGAGGGAAGAGAGCACAAAATAACACGAACAGCACTCCGCCCCCCGCCCTCTCGCCCCCTCACCCCCCTCACCCTCTCACCTGCACATGAAGTGCGCCCCATCCCGCAGGTCCCTGCGCCGGGCTATCTCCTCATCTGGCACCCGCCACTCCCCCTCCCCGCCCTCTGCTGCCGCCCCTGCCGCTGGTTGAGGGATCTCCTGCAGAGCGCTGGTAGGTAGGGGGGTGGCGGGTGAGTGAGGGTGGCGGGTGAGTGAGGGTGGCGAGTGAGTGAGGGTGGCGGGTGAGTGAGGGTGGCGAGTGAGTGAGGGTGGCCAGAATATGGTGACATGTTAGGTGGAGAGGCATCAGGGTGGGTGGAGGCACACTGGTGGTGCTACGTGGTGCTGGTGGGGGGATCTCTGGTAGTATGTAACCACAGAGCTCATACTAGGCGATCTGCAGAGCTCTGGCAAGCAGGGTGCGCGAAGCGAGTGGTGGGTTTAGAGGAGAGATTAGGAAGAATGTGAATGGAAGAGCGAGGCGAGAGTGGCGAGGTGGGAGAGGAGTGCCACACACACAAGACACAGAGACACATGCACTCATCCAACCATCCCTCCACCCACACAAGCACCCACCCACCCATGCCCATCACCCACCCGTCCACCACCCACAAATCAAGTCTTCTCAATCCACCCATCCTTCGCTGAAAGTAACCATTGTAATATTACAACAATAGCCAACAAGCAGTTCAGAGCGTACGCGCGTTTCAGCTATTATGCCTTCATTGCCGTTCCGAATCCTATTAAACCTGCACACTACCTACCTAGCAAGCCACTGCATAGACTTAGCGTGCATCTTAGGATCCGGAACACCGATGAAGGCCTAACAGCCGAAACGCGCGTATGCTTTGAACTGCTTGTAAGCTACCGTTTCAAAATTACTACAGTTACAATACATGCTCTTAACAAGCCTAGATCAATCATTAGTTTCCCTGTTAGATTACTTACTAGTCGGTGATCAGGGATTGCAGCTATCTACCCAACCGTATCTTGTAACCCGCCCACCCACCCACACACCAAGTCCCCTCAATCACCCAACTGTCACCGAAGGTCGGGTTGGCGAACCCCACGCCGTCCAGCAGCACACATTGACACACAAGCCGCTAACCGCACACCAACAGATGCCCGTTCCCACACACATGCATGCACCCATCCACCAGCATGCAAAGTCCAATGCACCCACCCGTCGCCGAAGGGTGGGAAGGCGAGCCCCATGTCGTCCAGCAGCACTGCCTGCTCCACGTGGAGGGCTCCCATTGGCCCCAGCGTCCTCACCAGGTACACGTCTGGGTGGCGTGAGTAGCGGTCCCACGCTGGGGGAAGAGGAGCGGGGGAGGAGAAAGGGGGAAGCAAGGGAGTAGAGAGGATAGGAAGGGAACGGAGAGGGTTTATCGAGACCATTCGAAGCACGGCACAAGTTTCGGGTGGCGCTAGTAGCGGTCGTACGCAGGAGGAAGGGAGATGGGCAAGGATGGGCGGGGGGAGGAAAGGAGGGGTTGTGGGGAAGTAAAGGAGCGGGTGTAGGGGAAGGGTGCTAGAGGAAAGGGTGGGGTGATGGCACAGGGAGCCATGCTGAAGAATGGGGGAGAATAATGATATGCTAATGCAATGAGCTGTACCTCACCAAAGCTCATCAAATCCCACATAACCTCACCAAATTTCGCCAAAACTCACCTCCTGCCCTGCCTTGCAGTGGAGGCAGCTTCAGTACGTGGAACAACTCTTCTCCCACCCTTACCTCTCACACTCACCTCATCTCCTCCCCTCCTTTCCTCACTTGCAAACCTTCCCTCGTCCTCCCCTCCCGTCCCCCCCTCCCATCCTCCCATACCATCTTCCCACCCCCTGATCCCCTCCCCACCTCCCCCCTCACCTGCCAGGCGCACGACAAAGCGGGTGGCACGAAGGCGGTCCGCCTGAGTGGTGCGCAGGAACATCTGGAGGGGAGGAAGGTGTTGAGGTAAGGGGGGGAAGGCGGAGGGGGAGGAGGGGGAGGCAGAGGGGGAGGGGGAGGGGGAACGGCGGGGGGAGGGGGAGGGGGAGGCGCAATGGATGCGGAGTGGAACAGAGGAGAGGAGTTAAGCGGGGAAGCGCCTGGAGGAAGGGAGCAGGGGAGGCTGATGAGGTGGTGGAGGCAGGGGGCCAGAAAAAAAGAGAGGAGGAGGGGAGAGACGAGCGGTAAATGGGGTGTGAAGGGGGTCATTAGCCTGAGAGGTGAGGAGGAACGAAAAGAGGAGTGAGTGTCGAAAAGGTGAGAGGGGAAGGGAAGGAAAGTGGGTAGTAGAGTCGATACGTGAACAAGTTTCGTTGCACAAGCCTCCTCCATCCATTGTCCTCTCTTCTCGTGGCGAAGCAGAGCCTCACAGCCCTGTCCCACCCTCTGGTGTGTGTGACAACGCCAGCACCATTCACTTCATCAAGAGAGCTGCCTTCTATGGCCGGTACAAGCCCATCAAGCTCTGTCTGCCACTACTTCGTCTACAGCCTCGTTCAAAACTTTTGAGGCGCCTCAAGAGGCGGTGACCTCATTCAGGTTGGCCATATCATCGATTGCAAGATCAACTCCTCCTCCGCGTACCCAGCCTACACTTTCACCAATGCCCCTTATCGCGCTGTTCACGCTGCCTTTTTCGGTTCTTGGGTCCTGTCCTCCATCTCGTTAAATCAAGGTGTTTCCTCTTTCACCCACCCAAGCTGTGTAGTTTTTTGTAGGCTAAGGGGTCATTCTGAAACAGTCATTTTTGTATCCTAAATATATACTAACCTTGGGTAGAGTTTTATCACCAAAACTGGATATATCCTTGTTGGGGTTGGGTTGGGAATCTATTCTTCCCTTGACTCAATTACCTGACCCACAGAGTTACTTGCGAATTAGTGGCCCCCCAGTGATCGTTGACCGAGACGTTTGGGACCCTCAATAGCTGTTCAACCGACCTCGATAGCTGTTCAACCGACCTCGATAGCTGTTCAACCGACCTCGATAGCTGTTCAACCGACCTCGATAGCTGTTCAACCGACCTCGATAGCTCTTCAACCAACCTCGATAGCTATTCAACCGACCTCGATAGCTGTTCAACCGACCTCGATAGCTGTTCAACCGACCTCGATAGCTGTTCAACCGACCTCGATAGCTGTTCAACCGACCTCGATAGCTGTTCAACCGACCTCGATAGCTGTTCAACCGACCTCGATAGCTGTTCAACCGACCTCGATAGCTGTTCAACCGACCTCGATAGCTGTTCAACCGACCTTGATAGCTGTTCAACCGACCTCGATAGCTGTTCAACCGACCTCGATAGCTGTTCAACTGACCTCGATAGCTGTTCAACTGATAGCATATTGATTGGGGTCAATAAGGTTGGCCAAACCAGCCCCCCTCTCCTTCTCACTACCATGATTTCCAACACAATCATCAACTCTTCCTGACGCTGTTAGAACTCTCGTATCGTATGCAGCAACACTCACCAGCGGAAGGCGAGCATCCATGGGCACACAGAGGAAGCCCATCCTTGCTCTGCCGGCAAACACATGGGCACGGGGCAGACAGGCAAGGGGCGGACAGGCAAGGGGCGGACAGGCAAGGGGTGGACAGGCAAGGGGCGGACAGGCAAGGGGCGGACAGGCAAGGGGCGGACAGGCAAGGGGCGGACAGGCAAGGGGCGGACAGGCAAGGGGCGGACAGGCAAGGGGCGGACAGGCAAGGGGCGGACAGGCAAGGGGCGGACAGGCAAGGGGCGGACAGGCAAGGGCGGACAGGCAAGGGGCGGACAGGCAAGGGGCGGACAGGCAAGGGGCGGACAGGCAAGGGGCGGACAGGCAAGGGGCAGGACAGGCAAGGGGCAGACAGGCAAGGGGCAGACAGGCAAGGGGCAGACAGGCAAGGGGCAGACAGGCAAGGGGCGGACAGGCAAGGGGCGGACAGGCAAGGGGCGGACAGGCAAGGGGCGGACAGGCAAGGGGCGGACAGGCAAGGGGCGGACAGGCAAGGGGCGGACAGGCAAGGGGCGGACAGGCAAGGGGCGGACAGGCAAGGGGCGGACAGGCAAGGGGCGGACAGGCAAGGGGCGGACAGGCAAGGGGCGGACAGGCAAGGGGCGGACAGGCAAGGGGCGGACAGGCAAGGGGCAGACAGGCAAGGGGCAGACAGGCAAGGGGCAGACAGGCAAGGGGCGGACAGGCAAGGGGCAGACAGGCAAGGGGCAGACAGGCAAGGGGCGGACAGGCAAGGGGCGGACAGGCAAGGGGCAGACAGGCAAGGGGCAGACAGGCAAGGGGCAGACAGGCAAGGGGCGGACAGGCAAGGGGCAGACAGGCAAGGGGCAGACAGGCAAGGGGCGGACAGGCAAGGGGCGGACAGGCAAGGGGCGGACAGGCAAGGGGCAGACAGGCAAGGGGCAGACAGGCAAGGGGCAGACAGGCAAGGGGCAGACAGGCAAGGGGCAGACAGGCAAGGGGCGGACAGGCAAGGGGCGGACAGGCAAGGGGCAGACAGGCAAGGGGCGGACAGGCAAGGGGCGGACAGGCAAGGGGCAGACAGGCAAGGGGTAGACAGGCAAGGGGCGGACAGGCAAGGGGCGGACAGGCAAGGGGCGGACAGGCAAGGGGCGGACAGGCAAGGGTCGGACAGGCAAGGGGCGGACAGGCAAGGGGCGGACAGGCAAGGGGCGGACAGGCAAGGGGCGGACAGGCAAGGGGCAGACAGGCAAGGGGCAGACAGGCAAGGGGCGGACAGGCAAGGGGCAGACAGGCAAGGGGCAGACAGGCAAGGGGCAGACAGGCAAGGGCGGACAGGCAAGGGGACAGGCAAGGGGCAGACAGGCAAGGGGCAGACAGGCAAGGGGCGGACAGGCAAGGGGCGGACAGGCAAGGGGCAGACAGGCAAGGGGCAGACAGGCAAGGGGCGGACAGGCAAGGGGCGGACAGGCAAGGGGCGGACAGGCAAGGGGCAGACAGGCAAGGGGCGGACAGGCAAGGGGCAGACAGGCAAGGGGCAGACAGGCAAGGGGCAGACAGGCAAGGGGCAGACAGGCAAGGGGCAGACAGGCAAGGGGCGGACAGGCAAGGGGCGGACAGGCAAGGGGCAGACAGGCAAGGGGCAGACAGGCAAGGGGCAGACAGGCAAGGGGCAGACAGGCAAGGGGCAGACAGGCAAGGGGCAGACAGGCAAGGGGCAGACAGGCAAGGGGCAGACAGGCAAGGGGCAGACAGGCAAGGGGCAGACAGGCAAGGGGCAGACAGGCAAGGGGCAGACAGGCAAGGGGCAGACAGGCAAGGGGCAGACAGGCAAGGGGCAGACAGGCAAGGGGCGGACAGGCAAGGGGCAGACAGGCAAGGGGCAGACAGGCAAGGGGCGGACAGGCAAGGGGCGGACAGGCAAGGGGCAGACAGGCAAGGGGCAGACAGGCAAGGGGCGGACAGGCAAGGGGCGGACAGGCAAGGGGCAGACAGGCAAGGGGCAGACAGGCAAGGGGCGGACACGCAAGGGGCAGACAGGCAAGGGGCAGACAGGCAAGGGGCAGACAGGCAAGGGGCGGACAGGCAAGGGGCAGACAGGCAAGGGGCGGACAGGCAAGGGGCGGACAGGCAAGGGGCAGACAGGCAAGGGGCAGACAGGCAAGGGGCAGACAGGCAAGGGGCAGACAGGCAAGGGGCAGACAGGCAAGGGGCAGACAGGCAAGGGGCGGACAGGCAAGGGGCAGACAGGCAAGGGGCAGACAGGCAAGGGGCGGACAGGCAAGGGGCGGACAGGCAAGGGGCGGACAGGCAAGGGGCAGACAGGCAAGGGGCAGACAGGCAAGGGGCAGACAGGCAAGGGGCAGACAGGCAAGGGGCAGACAGGCAAGGGGCGGACAGGCAAGGGGCGGACAGGCAAGGGGCGGACAGGCAAGGGCAGACAGGCAAGGGGCGGACAGGCAAGGGGCAGACAGGCAAGGGGCAGACAGGCAAGGGGCGGACAGGCAAGGGGCGGACAGGCAAGGGGCGGACAGGCAAGGGGCGGACAGGCAAGGGGCAGACAGGCAAGGGGCGGACAGGCAAGGGGCAGACAGGCAAGGGGCAGACAGGCAAGGGGCAGACAGGCAAGGGGCGGACAGGCAAGGGGCGGACAGGCAAGGGGCAGACAGGCAAGGGGCAGACAGGCAAGGGGCAGACAGGCAAGGGGCAGACAGGCAAGGGGCAGACAGGTAAGGGGCGGACAGGCAAGGGGCAGACAGGCAAGGGGCAGACAGGCAAGTGGCAGACAGGCAAGGGGCGGACAGGCAAGGGGCAGACAGGCAAGGGGCGGACAGGCAAGGGGCGGACAGGCAAGGGGCGGACAGGCAAGGGGCGGACAGGCAAGGGGCGGACAGGCAAGGGGCGGACAGGCAAGGGGCGGACAGGCAAGGGGCGGACAGGCAAGGGGCGGACAGGCAAGGGGCGGACAGGCAAGGGGCGGACAGGCAAGGGGCGGACAGGCAAGGGTCGGACAGGCAAGGGTCGGACAGGCAAGGGGCGGACAGGCAAGGGGCGGACAGGCAAGGGGCGGACAGGCAAGGGGCGGACAGGCAAGGGGCAGACAGGCAAGGGGCAGACAGGCAAGGGGCGGACAGGCAAGGGGCAGACAGGCAAGGGGCAGACAGGCAAGGGGCGGACAGGCAAGGGGCGGACAGGCAAGGGGCAGACAGGCAAGGGGCAGACAGGCAAGGGGCAGACAGGCAAGGGGCAGACAGGCAAGGGGCGGACAGGCAAGGGGCGGACAGGCAAGGGGCGGACAGGCAAGGGCGGACAGGCAAGGGGCGGACAGGCAAGGGGCAGACAGGCAAGGGTCAGACAGGCAAGGGGCAGACAGGCAAGGGGCAGACAGGCAAGGGGCAGACAGGCAAGGGGCGGACAGGCAAGGGGCGGACAGGCAAGGGGCAGACAGGCAAGGGGCGGACAGGCAAGGGGCGGACAGGCAAGGGGCAGACAGGCAAGGGGCAGACAGGCAAGGGGCGGACAGGCAAGGGGCAGACAGGCAAGGGGCGGACAGGCAAGGGGCAGACAGGCAAGGGGCGGACAGGCAAGGGGCGGACAGGCAAGGGGCGGACAGGCAAGGGGCAGACAGGCAAGGGGCAGACAGGCAAGGGCAGACAGGCAAGGGGCAGACAGGCAAGGGGCAGACAGGCAAGGGGCGGACAGGCAAGGGGCAGACAGGCAAGGGGCAGACAGGCAAGGGGCGGACAGGCAAGGGGCGGACAGGCAAGGGGCAGACAGGCAAGGGGCAGACAGGCAAGGGGCAGACAGGCAAGGGGCGGACAGGCAAGGGGCGGACAGGCAAGGGGCAGACAGGCAAGGGGCAGACAGGCAAGGGGCGGACAGGCAAGGGGCAGACAGGCAAGGGGCAGACAGGCAAGGGGCAGACAGGCAAGGGGCAGACAGGCAAGGGGCAGACAGGCAAGGGGCGGACAGGCAAGGGGCGGACAGGCAAGGGGCAGACAGGCAAGGGGCGGACAGGCAAGGGGCGGACAGGCAAGGGGCAGACAGGCAAGGGGCAGACAGGCAAGGGGCGGACAGGCAAGGGGCAGACAGGCAAGGGGCAGACAGGCAAGGGGCAGACAGGCAAGGGGCAGACAGGCAAGGGGCAGACAGGCAAGGGGCGGACAGGCAAGGGGCGGACAGGCAAGGGGCGGACAGGCAAGGGGCAGACAGGCAAGGGGCAGACAGGCAAGGGGCAGACAGGCAAGGGGCAGACAGGCAAGGGGCAGACAGGCAAGGGGCGGACAGGCAAGGGGCGGACAGGCAAGGGGCGGACAGGCAAGGGGCAGACAGGCAAGGGGCAGACAGGCAAGGGGCAGACAGGCAAGGGCAGACAGGCAAGGGGCGGACAGGCAAGGGGCGGACAGGCAAGGGGCGGACAGGCAAGGGGCGGACAGGCAAGGGGCAGACAGGCAAGGGGCAGACAGGCAAGGGGCAGACAGGCAAGGGGCAGACAGGCAAGGGGCAGACAGGCAAGGGGCAGACAGGCAAGGGGCAGACAGGCAAGGGGCAGACAGGCAAGGGGCAGACAGGCAAGGGGCAGACAGGCAAGGGGCAGACAGGCAAGGGGCGGACAGGCAAGGGGCAGACAGGCAAGGGGCAGACAGGCAAGGGGCGGACAGGCAAGGGGCGGACAGGCAAGGGGCGGACAGGCAAGGGGCAGACAGGCAAGGGGCGGACAGGCAAGGGGCGGACAGGCAAGGGGCAGACAGGCAAGGGGCAGACAGGCAAGGGGCAGACAGGCAAGGGGCAGACAGGCAAGGGGCGGACAGGCAAGGGGCAGACAGGCAAGGGGCAGACAGGCAAGGGGCAGACAGGCAAGGGGCGGACAGGCAAGGGGCAGACAGGCAAGGGGCGGACAGGCAAGGGGCGGACAGGCAAGGGCAGACAGGCAAGGGGCAGACAGGCAAGGGGCAGACAGGCAAGGGGCAGACAGGCAAGGGGCAGACAGGCAAGGGGCGGACAGGCAAGGGGCAGACAGGCAAGGGGCAGACAGGCAACGGGCGGACAGGCAAGGGGCGGACAGGCAAGGGGCAGACAGGCAAGGGGCAGACAGGCAAGGGGCAGACAGGCAAGGGGCGGACAGGCAAGGGGCGGACAGGCAAGGGGCAGACAGGCAAGGGGCAGACAGGCAAGGGGCGGACAGGCAAGGGGCAGACAGGCAAGGGGCAGACAGGCAAGGGGCGGACAGGCAAGGGGCAGACAGGCAAGGGGCAGACAGGCAAGTGGCAGACAGGCAAGGGGCGGACAGGCAAGGGGCAGACAGGCAAGGGGCAGACAGGCAAGGGGCGGACAGGCAAGGGGCGGACAGGCAAGGGGCAGACAGGCAAGGGGCAGACAGGCAAGGGGCAGACAGGCAAGGGGCGGACAGGCAAGGGGCAGACAGGCAAGGGGCAGACAGGCAAGGGGCAGACAGGCAAGGGGCGGACAGGCAAGGGGCAGACAGGCAAGGGGCGGACAGGCAAGGGGCGGACAGGCAAGGGGCGGACAGGCAAGGGGCAGACAGGCAAGGGGCAGACAGGCAAGGGGCAGACAGGCAAGGGGCAGACAGGCAAGGGGCAGACAGGCAAGGGGCAGACAGGCAAGGGGCGGACAGGCAAGGGGCAGACAGGCAAGGGGCAGACAGGCAAGGGGCGGACAGGCAAGGGGCGGACAGGCAAGGGGCGGACAGGCAAGGGGCAGACAGGCAAGGGGCAGACAGGCAAGGGGCAGACAGGCAAGGGGCAGACAGGCAAGGGGCAGACAGGCAAGGGGCGGACAGGCAAGGGGCGGACAGGCAAGGGGCAGACAGGCAAGGGGCAGACAGGCAAGGGGCGGACAGGCAAGGGGCGGACAGGCAAGGGGCAGACAGGCAAGGGGCAGACAGGCAAGGGGCGGACAGGCAAGGGGCGGACAGGCAAGGGGCGGACAGGCAAGGGGCAGACAGGCAAGGGGCGGACAGGCAAGGGGCGGACAGGCAAGGGGCAGACAGGCAAGGGCAGACAGGCAAGGGGCGGACAGGCAAGGGGCAGACAGGCAAGGGCAGACAGGCAAGGGGCGGACAGGCAAGGGGCGGACAGGCAAGGGGCAGACAGGCAAGGGGCAGACAGGCAAGGGGCGGACAGGCAAGGGGCGGACAGGCAAGGGGCAGACAGGCAAGGGGCAGACAGGCAAGGGGCAGACAGGCAAGGGGCAGACAGGCAAGGGGCAGACAGGCAAGGGGCAGACAGGCAAGGGGCGGACAGGCAAGGGGCAGACAGGCAAGGGGCAGACAGGCAAGGGGCGGACAGGCAAGGGGCGGACAGGCAAGGGGCGGACAGGCAAGGGCAGACAGGCAAGGGGCGGACAGGCAAGGGGCGGACAGGCAAGGGGCAGACAGGCAAGGGGCAGACAGGCAAGGGGCAGACAGGCAAGGGGCGGACAGGCAAGGGGCGGACAGGCAAGGGGCGGACAGGCAAGGGGCGGACAGGCAAGGGGCGGACAGGCAAGGGGCGGACAGGCAAGGGGCGGACAGGCAAGGGGCAGACAGGCAAGGGGCAGACAGGCAAGGGGCAGACAGGCAAGGGGCAGACAGGCAAGGGGCAGACAGGCAAGGGGCGGACAGGCAAGGGGCGGACAGGCAAGGGGCAGACAGGCAAGGGGCAGACAGGCAAGGGGCGGACAGGCAAGGGCGGACAGGCAAGGGGCAGACAGGCAAGGGGCAGACAGGCAAGGGGCGGACAGGCAAGGGGCGGACAGGCAAGGGGCAGACAGGCAAGGGGCAGACAGGCAAGGGGCGGACAGGCAAGGGGCAGACAGGCAAGGGGCAGACAGGCAAGGGGCGGACAGGCAAGGGGCAGACAGGCAAGGGGCAGACAGGCAAGGGGCAGACAGGCAAGGGGCAGACAGGCAAGGGGCAGACAGGCAAGGGGCAGACAGGCAAGGGGCGGACAGGCAAGGGGCAGACAGGCAAGGGGCGGACAGGCAAGGGGCGGACAGGCAAGGGGCGGACAGGCAAGGGGCAGACAGGCAAGGGGCAGACAGGCAAGGGGCAGACAGGCAAGGGGCAGACAGGCAAGGGGCAGACAGGCAAGGGGCGGACAGGCAAGGGGCGGACAGGCAAGGGGCGGACAGGCAAGGGGCAGACAGGCAAGGGGCAGACAGGCAAGGGGCAGACAGGCAAGGGGCAGACAGGCAAGGGGCAGACAGGCAAGGGGCAGACAGGCAAGGGGCGGACAGGCAAGGGGCGGACAGGCAAGGGGCAGACAGGCAAGGGGCAGACAGGCAAGGGGCAGACAGGCAAGGGGCGGACAGGCAAGGGGCAGACAGGCAAGGGGCAGACAGGCAAGGGGCGGACAGGCAAGGGGCGGACAGGCAAGGGGCGGACAGGCAAGGGGCAGACAGGCAAGGGGCAGACAGGCAAGGGGCGGACAGGCAAGGGGCGGACAGGCAAGGGGCGGACAGGCAAGGGGCGGACAGGCAAGGGGCAGACAGGCAAGGGGCGGACAGGCAAGGGGCAGACAGGCAAGGGGCAGACAGGCAAGGGGCAGACAGGCAAGGGGCGGACAGGCAAGGGGCGGACAGGCAAGGGGCAGACAGGCAAGGGGCAGACAGGCAAGGGGCAGACAGGCAAGGGGCAGACAGGCAAGGGGCAGACAGGTAAGGGGCGGACAGGCAAGGGGCAGACAGGCAAGGGGCAGACAGGCAAGTGGCAGACAGGCAAGGGGCGGACAGGCAAGGGGCAGACAGGCAAGGGGCAGACAGGCAATGGGCGGACAGGCAAGGGGCGGACAGGCAAGGGGCAGACAGGCAAGGGGCAGACAGGCAAGGGGCAGACAGGCAAGGGGCAGACAGGCAAGGGGCAGACAGGCAAGGGGCAGACAGGCAAGGGGCGGACAGGCAAGGGGCAGACAGGCAAGGGGCAGACAGGCAAGGGGCGGACAGGCAAGGGGCGGACAGGCAAGGGGCGGACAGGCAAGGGGCGGACAGGCAAGGGGCGGACAGGCAAGGGGCGGACAGGCAAGGGGCGGACAGGCAAGGGGCGGACAGGCAAGGGGCGGACAGGCAAGGGGCGGACAGGCAAGGGTCGGACAGGCAAGGGTCGGACAGGCAAGGGGCGGACAGGCAAGGGGCGGACAGGCAAGGGGCGGACAGGCAAGGGGCGGACAGGCAAGGGGCAGACAGGCAAGGGGCAGACAGGCAAGGGGCAGACAGGCAAGGGGCAGACAGGCAAGGGGCAGACAGGCAAGGGGCGGACAGGCAAGGGGCAGACAGGCAAGGGGCAGACAGGCAAGGGGCAGACAGGCAAGGGGCGGACAGGCAAGGGGCGGACAGGCAAGGGGCAGACAGGCAAGGGGCAGACAGGCAAGGGGCAGACAGGCAAGGGGCAGACAGGCAAGGGGCAGACAGGTAAGGGGCGGACAGGCAAGGGGCAGACAGGCAAGGGGCAGACAGGCAAGTGGCAGACAGGCAAGGGGCGGACAGGCAAGGGGCAGACAGGCAAGGGGCAGACAGGCAATGGGCGGACAGGCAAGGGGCGGACAGGCAAGGGGCAGACAGGCAAGGGGCAGACAGGCAAGGGGCAGACAGGCAAGGGGCAGACAGGCAAGGGGCAGACAGGCAAGGGGCAGACAGGCAAGGGGCGGACAGGCAAGGGGCAGACAGGCAAGGGGCAGACAGGCAAGGGGCGGACAGGCAAGGGGCGGACAGGCAAGGGGCGGACAGGCAAGGGGCGGACAGGCAAGGGGCGGACAGGCAAGGGGCGGACAGGCAAGGGGCGGACAGGCAAGGGGCGGACAGGCAAGGGGCGGACAGGCAAGGGTCGGACAGGCAAGGGTCGGACAGGCAAGGGGCGGACAGGCAAGGGGCGGACAGGCAAGGGGCGGACAGGCAAGGGGCGGACAGGCAAGGGGCAGACAGGCAAGGGGCAGACAGGCAAGGGGCAGACAGGCAAGGGGCAGACAGGCAAGGGGCAGACAGGCAAGGGGCGGACAGGCAAGGGGCAGACAGGCAAGGGGCAGACAGGCAAGGGGCAGACAGGCAAGGGGCAGAACAAGCAGAAACAGGGTCAAGCGGGTCTGAGGGGTAAAAAGAATCTCAAGTGCGAGTTCACATAATGATGGGGAAACAAGGGGTTCAAGGTTCGGTTGAAAACACTGTCCCCCAGCAGTCATATGGGTTGGGTATTTCTTATGGGTTCCTAAACCATTTGTCAACGTTGAGCCAATGTTATGGGAGCTTCAGCAACCTCACTACCCATTTCAGTTAATCAACTGAACCCCAATTAACTGAACCTCTGGATACCAATTAACTGAACCACTGCAATATTTCTAACCGCAACCAGGGTACAGCCTAGTCTAGTTGTACCCTTTACATAGAAGAGAGTGTTGTACGTGACTCTACGTGAGAAGCAGTAGGCTACTTAGGACAAAAAAGCAGGAATACTTATTGTGACACAGTCAGGCACTCACTTGGAGGAGGAGGCACGCACTTGGAGGAGGAGGCACTCACTTGGAGGAGGAGGCACGCACTTGGAGGAGGAGGCACTCACTTGGAGGAGGAGGCACTCACTTGGAGGAGGAGGCACTCACTTGGAGGAGGAGGCACTCACTTGGAGGAGGAGGCACGGGAGAGCTTGCTGCGCGAGCTGGCTCTCGTGCTGCTCGCCGCCATGCTGCTGTGCATGCGCACGCTGCTCTCCCTGCTCCCCACGCCCATGCTCTCGCTCCTCCTGCTGCTGCCACCCCGCACACTGCTGTACGGCGTGGTGTCCGGCTCGCTGCATGCGGTTGTGCTGGAGCTTCTCACAGCATGCACTGCTGCTCCTTCTGCCGGCTCATGTGCAGCTGACAGCACACTGTGCCTGTGCTGCTCCTCTGCCTCCTCTTCCCCTCCCTCCTCTCCTTCCTCTTCCTCCTGTTCATCCTCTCCCTCCTCTTCGTCACTCTCTTCCTCTTCACTCTCCTCTTCCTCCTCCTCTTCCTCCTCCTCTTCCTCCTCTTCTTCCTCCTCTTCCTCCTCCCCCCACAGCCACGCCCCACCTCTCGCCCCCACAGCACCCCCCTCCACCTCATCCACGTGGTCTTTAAGGCAAACCACAAAGTCACGGCTCACTCGGTGCAGCACACTCACCACCTCCCCCACCATCTCATACTCCTCCCCCTCCCCACCCTCCTCATACTCCCCGTTTCCCCAGTCCTCCCCATGCCCACCCCCACGCCCACTGTGCTGATTCCAGTGCGAGGCTGCAGGTCGTTTCCGGTGCCACCTCTCCTGCCCCACCTTGCTCCCACTCTGCTCCTCCCCTCCATCCCCCTGCCCCTGCGCATTCCCATCCCAACCCGCCTGCCACCCACTGTAATCCGGCCCATACCCATCTCCACCCCCCTGCCCCTGCCCATACCCAACTCCATACCCATCCCCGCCCCCCTGCCCCTGTCCGTACACATCTCCATCCCCACCCCCCTGTCCCTGCCCATCGCCAAGCCCTCCCCAGCCCCCATGCCCCTGCTCCTTCGCCTGCCACCCCGCCTGTCCCCTGCGATCGTCCCCTCCTCCATCCCTCACCCCTCCCCCGTTCCACCCTCCACCCCCCCACCCAGGGGTAGGGGAAGCAGCGGAAGCCTCCCCCCAGCCAGTAGGGGGAGGGGGAGGGGCGGCAGGGGACTCCCCCCAGCCAGTAGGGGGTGGGGGAGGGGGGGCTTCTTCCCAGCCTGTGGGTGGAGGTGGAGTAGGCGAAGCTTCCCCCCAGCCAGTAGGGGGAGGCGGGGGCGGGGCTTCCCCCCACCCTGAAGAGGCTGGGGGAGGGGGTGCCTCATCCCAGGCTGAAGGGGTCGGGGGGAGGTGAGCGTCAGATGTGGCAGCAGCAACACCGCCACCACCACCACCACCACCACCACCACCAACCCAACCACCGCCGGCACCCTCATCCCCATCCTCCCCACCGGCACTGCCACCCTCAACAACCGCACCTCCATCTCCCGTTCTCTCACTCCGCCCACCCTCATACCTCCTCACGCCCACCACATCCTCCTCTCCCCCCCTCATCCCCTCCCCCTCTTTCTCACTCTCTCCCCAACCCCTTCTCCCATCCCTCGTCTCCACGCCGCCTCCCCCCATCTGCCAGGCCCCCATGTGCCCTTCCCCCATTTTCCCGCCCCCCATGTGCCCTCCCCCCATGTGCCCACCCCCCACCTGTCTGTCCCCCACCCTGCGCTTGCCCAGCAGCCTGACTGCCACGGTGTCGCCTGGCAGAGCGCGGTTGAGCTGCCGCCATGAGAGGATGGTGATGTCGCTGTGTGGCGAATGTAACTGCTTGCGACTGGAAGGCAGAGAAGGACGGGGCATGGGGCAGTGGTAGGGGGCGGGGGGCAGGGGATAGGGGGTATGAGGTAGAATGGCAGAGCGCGGTTGAGCTGCCGCCATGAGAGGATGGTGATGTCATTCTGCGGGGCGTGCACCTGCTTGCGACTGGAAGGGAAGGATGGGGCATGGGGCAAGGAGCAAGGGGCAGGGGGAACGGGGTAGGCGGGGAGTGGGAAAAAAGGGCAAGGCTGACAGGCAGAGCGCGGTTGAGCTGGCGCCATGAGATGATGGTTATGTCATTCTGGGGGGCGTGCACCTGCTTGCGACTGGAAGAAAAGGACGGGAGGGGGGGGGGGCAAGGGGAAGGGGATAAGCCGGGAGTGGGCAAATGGATAAGGAGTAGTAAGGCTGACATGCAGAGCGTGGTTGCGGTGGCGCCATGTGGGGATGGTGATGTCACTCTGGGGGGAACGCACTTGCTTCCGACTGTATTAGAGGAGTGGTGGGGTGGGGGTGCGTGGGGCAGGGGGCATGGGGAAGGGGGCGGACTGTGAGCGGCTGAGCAGATGAGCCTTCAGGAAGAAGCGCGGTTGAGGTGGTTGACGTTCAAATATAAATTAGAATGTGGGGATGGTGATGTTGATGTGGGGATGGTGATGTTGATGTGGGGGCGTGCACCTGCTTACGACTGGATGGGAAGGATGGGACGCGTGGAAGGGAAAACGGATAAGGGGAACGCATGGGGACGAAAATGGCTATGGTGCAAGAAGGCAGCAAAGAGATAAAGAACTGCAAAGTCAGGAGGAATTGGAAGTCAATGCCAGTCAACGGCAGTCAAGAGCACTCCGCCCTCACCTGTGCATCACGGTGGCTTTGAAAGGTTCAGTGGTTGTGTCGTGCAGCATTTTTACACAAATAGCCCCTCACTGCCACCCCCTCTACCACACGAATAAAATAAGTCAACGCCAGTCAAGAGCACTCTTCCCTCACTTGGGTCTGACGGTGGCTTTGAAAGGCTCGGTGGTTGTGATGTGCAGCACTCCCACTCGGATAGCTCCAACTGCCACTCCCTCCGCCACTGCTGAGCCTGTCGAATGGGAAATGGGATATAGGAACAGTGGTGATTGCAGTAGGCAGCACTCCCACTCGGATAGCTCCGACTGCGATGCCCTCTGCTACTGCTGTGCCTGGACATTGGAGAACTGGCACCGTGCAGAAACCAATCAGAGATCATGATAAATAGGAAATGGGTTATGGCAACGACAGGGAGACGGTGTGAATGAGCACATACAGCATTGCATTTCCATTCCAAGGCATTTGTCAATGAAAGTGGCCATGGGGAAGGAACCTTTCGGTGTCACTTTTCAAAGCACCAGAACTCCTCGCCGCACTCTTGCTATTTTTGTGGCGCCTAAAGAATTGTTGCACCCCTGCTCTGCAACTGTCACAGACCTAGTCACCTTGCACACCGTGTCAATTCCTCCTACTCCATGTCAAGTGGTTCTCCACTCACTTGACAGGTGCGGTGTGAACACCTCCTTGCGCTGCTTCCCACTGCCGAGCCTGCCGCTTCCGAACCTGCTGCCACTGAGCCTGCCGCTGCCAGACGTGGATTTGAAGGATGACGAGAGGCGCAAGGCATGCTGGGTGGCCTGGTGGGGGGGAAGGAAGACAGGAGCAAAGGCATGTTGGTGGAGGGGGTCCTGGTCAACAGTTGGTTGATGCTCACGCTAAGAACATAAAGGAATGGGGATGGGGATAAGAATGGGTTGGGTTGGGGATGCGGATGGGGACTGGTCAAACAGGAGCACTGCGGTAACTGAAAAGAAGTGAAAGACCTACTCTGACTTGAATCAGAAGTCTGAAGCTATGGTAGAGGAAAAACAATGCGAATCAAAATCAGAAACAACGAACGCAAGACGGAATCCCGAGTAACCGTACGTGCGCGGTTATCAGGTTGAGGTTTGAGTGTGCTCACAAGAGAGTCCATGAGAGTGGTGAAAGTGGTGGTTACCATAATGGTATGGTAGAGCGTTGGGTGTGCTTACTAAAGAGTCCATGAGTGGCAACAGTGGTGCAGCAGTGACTTTATGCTCCAAGTAACACGTGTGGTTATCAGGTACAATAGAAGGTTGAGCAGGGTGCTCACGAGAGAGTCCATGAGCGTGGTGACAGTGGTGCAGTGGCCGTAGTAGGTCTGGAAGAATGCCTCGTTTGTCATCACCTGTGGCACAGGGAGATGGGAGATGGGAGATGGGAGATGGGCGATGGGGGACAGAGGGGGCAACTACGAAAAAGACAAAAGGCGAGACAAGGAACTGCATTGAAAGTTGGGAGCAGGAAAAGGAGGAAGGAGAGAGAAGGCTGACGTTGCAGAAATCGAAGTAAGGAGGTCATATGTCTTGACACCTCTCCTGTAAGTCCAAAGAAGTCTCGAAATTGATGCACGCAACAGAGATTACATCACAGCATGCACGTACCACCCAAGAACCCGCACGTACCACCCAAGAACCCGCACGTACCACCCAAGAACCCGCACGTACCACCCAAGAACCCGCACGTACCACCCAAGAACCCGCACGTACCACCCAAGAACCCGCACGTACCACCCAAGAACCCGCACGTACCACCCAAGAACCCGCACGTACCACCCAAGAACCCGCACGTACCACCCAAGAACCCGCACGTACCACCCAAGAACCCGCACGTACCACCCAAGAACCCGCACGTACCACCCAAGAACCCGCACGTACCACCCAAGAACCCGCACGTACCACCCAAGAACCCGCACGTACCACCCAAGAACCCGCACGTACCACCCAAGAACCCGCACGTACCACCCAAGAACCCGCACGTACCACCCAAGAACCCGCACGTACCACCCAAGAACCCGCACGTACCACCCAAGAACCCGCACGTACCACCCAAGAACCCGCACGTACCACCCAAGAACCCGCACGTACCACCCAAGAACCCGCACGTACCACCCAAGAACCCGCACGTACCACCCAAAAACCCGCACGTACCACCACTTCGTTACGCTGCACGGCCTGCAGCACCTCGCCCAATGGCATGCTGCCACGTGCTGCTGCCAGCTCGTCCGACACGATGAGGATGGGTATGGCGCGGTGCAGATGGGTTGAGAACCACTGTGCTGCCGCCACCACGTGACACAGATCCACTGGGTTGGTGAGATGTGAGGGGTCAAGAAGCACACTTGCTCTTGATGTGAGATGCAAAGCTGATAAACTCATGATGCATAAGTCAACCTAACGGAGGGGATGAGAAGCATAGTAGCTCGATGTGAGAAGAAGGAATGGTAAAGAGCATGCGAGCGAAGCTTTGCTCAGGGGGCATGAGAGCATATTGTGGAGAGACACCACACCACACCACACCACACCACACCACACCACACCACACCACACCACACCACACCACACCACACCACACATGCCCCCACACACACACGTACACATGCGTCCATCACACACAATTTCAGCCGACACAACCTCACCCCAAGTGTCTTTCTTCAGCCCAGCAGTGACGAACCAATGAAGGTTCCTTGTCACGAGGTGACTGTCACACACTCAACTCAAACACCCGCACACCCACCTTCAGCAGAAGCAGCATCACCAAGTGTGACTCTCAAGCTCGCCCGCCTCTCCTCCGCCATGGTGTGCGTGAAGAGGAAGTGCCGGTCGTCAAAGTAGGAGCTCTCCCTCCGCCCATCTTCACACAGAGCACTGCGATGGGGTGAAGTGATGAGAGGAAGGAGCATCGTGTAGGTGAGACCAAGGGGGTCAAGGACGAACTTATCTTGAAGTCTTGTTGAGACGGAGCAACGGAGTGGACAACGCGAGGAAAGGGCGAAAGACTAGGGGAGAGGGGTGAGAGAGATTAGTCTTTCCAAGAAACAATTAGAATGGGATTGGGAGTTGAAAGCAGGCCAGGGTATACTAAGCAATGCAACCATGGGAGGTACAGAGAAGGAGCGGGGCAGTAGATAGGAGAATAGGACATCAAGGGCGGCAGCAAGGGCGGCAGCAAGGGCAGCAAGGTGTGGGTGTGGGAGGAACGGACCGGATGCGTCCCGCGTGATAGGCGCTGGAGTAGTGAAGCACCTGGGAGGGAGAAGGCGAATGGAGGGGAGGGGAGAGAGGGGCGCGCAGGGGGGGAGAGGGGCGAGGAGAGAAGGGAGAGGGGATGGGGGATGAGATATGGGAAGGAAGTGGAAAGTGGGATGATAGGAGATGTGAGGAGGAAAGGTTAGGATGGGAGAGAAGGGACAGGACAGAGAACACATTCCATATTCTTCCAGCTCATGCTACCTCCTGCCATGTACCCCCAGCTCATGCTACCTCCTGCCATGTACCCCCAGCTCATGCTACCTCCTGCCATATACCCCCAGTTTATGCTACCTCCTGCTGCCATGTCAACCCACCAACCCGCCCGCCCACTCCCTCAAACCCTTCCCACCCCTCCTTTCAGCAACCCACTCATGTCACACATCCATTTCCTTAAGGCACGAAGCTCAGAGCACACCCACTAACCCATCCATCCACCTTCCCCTCACCTCCCCCTTCACTCCACGCACTCCTCCCCCAAACTCTCCTGCCACGCACCTCCTTACGCACACAGCGCAGACCCCACCCACCTACCCACCCACCCACCCACCCACCCACTTCTTTAACCCCCTCCCTCCCCACTTTTGGCAACCCGCTCTTGTCACACACGCACCTCCTTGGGCACGGAGCCCAGAGCCCACCCACCCAACTTACCACTTCCCTCCACCTCCCCCTCCCCCCCTCCACAACCTCTCCTGCCACGCACCTCCTTGGGCATGGAGCCCAGAGCCCACCCACCAACCATCCATCCACCTTCTCCTCACTTCCCCCACTCTTTCCCCTTGGGCACTCTTTTCTGGTCACACCTCCTTGAGCACGGAGCCCAGCACGATTGTGTGGCGTATCGGTGGTAGCTCCCACACCTCCATGAATTCAACCAGCGAGGCTGCATCGGGGATCTGGGGGGAGGGAGGGGATGAAGGGGGGAAGGGGAGAGGAGGGGAGAGGGCAGGAGAGGGTGAAACGGGGGGCCGAAGGTGGGAGGGAGGAGAGTAGGGAGGGGGGAGAGGGCGGGAAGGGGGTAAAGAGTGGACGGTCGAAGAGGCACAAAGGCCAACATTAGTAGCATTTGTCAACATAAAGTGGAAAATGTGTGAGTGAGGCTATCTCTCTGCCGCAGGTTGTCTTCGAATTCTCTCCGCAATCTCTCTCTTGTCCCTCATCATCGCCTCTCTTCCTCCACTTCTCCTCCCTCGACTTAACAGGTGGAAGGTGGACGAGGCACAGAGAGGGGAAGAGGGGAGATTGAGATAGGGGAGCACGGGAGAGAAGGCGCGGGAAGAGAAGAGGAGGAAGCAAGGCGATGATGAGAGGCAAACGAGAGACCGAGGGAAACATTGGAAGACGACCTGCGGCAGAGAGATAACCTCACTCACTCACTGATTCTTGTGTGAACTCGTCAACTCATTCACTCATCCACAACCTCAATCACTCCCTCCCTCATTCACTCACACATTCCCTCCCTCCCTCACTCACCACGTAGTGTCTCGCACTAGCGGACAAAGAAGGCCGGTCCGCCTCAGCGTAAAGCAGCAGGCCTTCCTCAGGGAACTGCCAGAGCAGCTCTCGGGGGAGCAGCTGGCAGGGGAGCACATCCCCAAAGAGCAGCGGGTCATGGCGGGGGAGGTGCGTGTAGCACGCGTAGCACAGCGCAGACCCGCACTTGATGTCCTCCCGAAGATAGTGCTCCTGTACAAGCTTCATCACCCCCACTCCCCCCGCTGCTGGGCCCCCTATTCCGCCTCCCGTTCCCCCCCCTCCCCCCCTTCCGCGCCCCGAGCCTCCTCCGCCAGCGCTGCCGTAGATGCCGCCTCCCCCAGAAACGCCGAGCAGGCTGACGGTCGCTGCGGCCCCCGCGCCCACGCGGATGCCCAATGAGGGCCCGCCAGCTGTCCCGCCGCGCTTCCTGCGCATGCGCACGTTGGTGTCCTCCTGGGGGGAGGCGGCGGGAGAGGGGGAGGACGGGGAAAGAGCGGCGGGGGAACGGGAAAGGGGCAGTGGAAGGGGGGGAGCGGGGAGTGAGGAGAAAGCGGATGGAGGAGCAAACAAAAATTTCGCAGACAGTCGTTGGGGAAGGGAAACTGGTGGCAATGCGACGGACGCTCGGAGACGCGCTGCTTGCGAACTTGCCGCGCTTCCCTGCTCCAGCTCTCATGCGGCTCCTCTTATTAGAACAGGATTTGCAACTCGCGACAGGATTCCAAGTCGCAGCTGCTATTATCACCGCCTCCATTCCGGCTAAACATTGTTCACTGGCAAAGAACTGAATTCTCGAAATCCTCCCGGTCTAGTAGTAGCCACGAGCGACTCTTTCTGGGTCAACCCAAACGAGCGCGCAATCCACCTCGTCCACCCGCTGCAACGACGGCATGGCGGAAAAAGGCCTCTACTATTCCCAGCCGGCGCTGCTAGTAGTATCACAACGCCGTACTCTGCCGGCAGGCATTTCTAATAAAATCGAGTCACCATGTGCGCGCAACTTACATATCTCGCGGTCCATCTGCCGAGACTCATCGTATAATTTGATATCGGTCGGCCGTCCAGTGTCAATCTAAGCCTGTGAAACAGTTGATTCCGCCATCACCGTCCTACTATAGCATGGCGAGTGGAAGAGTGCTGTTAGTAAATCTCATTCGGAAAGACACAACTAGGGCGGGACAGGTAGCGTTCATTTTCGTTTTTTTTTTTTCTCGTAAGTTTGGCTGATTTCGAGTCAGTTGATGTCAAATTTAGTCATGGGTGGCCCAGCGTACTCACACAAATCAGTTTGTGCACACAACCAGCCGCTTTCCGAACCAAGTAACCAGCCCACGCGCCACCCGCGCAGTTGGTTCACTCGCGAAGGAGAATGTTTCTTGGGCACTCTATTTGTTGTGTGGGCGAAATCAATGATGTTCATTAAAACCAGGGTGCACATTCATAATGGGTGTACTCCCATCGGAAAGAAATTGGTGTTCGGCGAAAAAAGTTTGGCAGGAACGAAAATACACTAGGAAGAATGGATGTGGCGAGAAATACGAAAGTGGGCGAATTGTGGCTCACTGAATTAAATCTGCGCCTGCCTGCAGCTAGGGGCTGCGGAACGACCTTCCATTTCCGCCACCCTCCCAGACACCACAGTGATGAGTGAAGAAAACGTCTCGCACTGTCTCGCCACACCAACCAACCGCCAATACACATCAGGAACCAGGCGCCGGAGAATGTGAATAGGCAAGCAACGCGCATTTCTTCTAATGACGCGAAGGGATTATGTTTAGGGTTATAAGAGATAGGGTTAGGCGAAATGTGTGGAATCGCAGCGAGTGTGTTTAGATATATAGAACCATCGTGGCAGGACACCAATGGGGAGGGAACCGGGCAGCACAACAAGGATTTCGTCAGTGGAGAGCCCCCCAAATGACATATGATTATGGGGCGTGGAGGTGCGGAGGCGGCATGTTGCATTATCGCCATAGAACAGCGCGAAAAGTAGGGTAGAAAGGCATAAAACTCGCAAACCGAAGAATAGGGTAACGGTAGGAAGGCGACGCGTGACTCATCGCCCGCACCCGCACCGTGACTACTGTCCACGCGACAAGAAGACATTCGCGCGGTCGACTTTGAAAAATAAAAAGGTGGCCATCTATGTAACCATTTCCACACGCAGCCCTTACTTGCATTCTCCACGCCCCTCACTCTCATTGTATTACCCAACACCGGCACTTACTTTCCCCCACCCAGCTATTCAGTTTCCCCCATGCAGCTGTTTACTACCCCCCAGCAGGCTATTTACTTCCCTCCATCCAGCTACCTACTTCCCCCCATCCAGCGTCTACCATCCCCCCACCCAGCTATGACCTTCCCCCCCATCCTGCTAATTACTTCTCCCCACCCAGCTTCTAACATCCCCCCATCCAACTACTAACTTTCCCCCCCAAGTAGCTACTTACTTCCCTTTCCCCCACCGCGCTACCTTCTTTCCCGGTCATTGGGCTACTTACCTCCCCCCACACAGCTACTCACTTCCCCCCACCCAGCTACTTACTTCCCCCCACACAGCTACTCACTTCCCCCCACCCAGCTACTCACTTCCCCCCACACAGCTACTCACTTCCCCCCACACAGCTACTCACTTCCCCCCACACAGCTACTCACTTCCCCCCACACAGCTACTCACTTCCCCTCACCCAGCTACTCACTTCCCCCCACCCAGCTACTTACTTCCCCCCACCTAGCTACTCACTTCCCCCCACACAGCTACTCACTTCCCCCCACCCAGCTACTCACTTCCCCCCACACAGCTACTCACTTCCCCCCACACAGCTACTCACTTCCCCCCACCCAGCTACTCACTTCCCCCCACCCAGCTACTCACTTCCCCCCACCCAGCTACTCACTTCCCCCCACCCAGCTACTCACTTCCCCCCACCCAGCTACTCACTTCCCCCCACACAGCTACTCACTTCCCCCCACACAGCTACTCACTTCCCCCCACCCAGCTACTCACTTCCCCCCACACAGCTACTCACTTCCCCCCACCCAGCTACTCACTTCCCCCCACACAGCTACTCACTTCCCCCCACCCAGCTACTCACTTCCCCCCACCCAGCTACTCACTTCCCCCCACACAGCTACTCACTTCCCCCCACACAGCTACTCACTTCCCCCCACCCAGCTACTCACTTCCCCCCACCCAGCTACTCACTTCCCCCCACACAGCTACTCACTTCCCCCCACCCAGCTACTCACTTCCCCCCACACAGCTACTCACTTCCCCCCACACAGCTACTCACTTCCCCCCACCCAGCTACTCACTTCCCCCCACCCAGCTACTCACTTCCCCCCACACAGCTACGCACTTCCCCCCACACAGCTACTCACTTCCCCCCACACAGCTACTCACTTCCCCCCACCCAGCTACTCACTTCCACCCACACAGCTACTCACTTCCCCCCACCCAGCTACTCACTTTCCCCCACCCAGCTACTTACTTCCCCCCACCCAGCTACTCACTTCCCCCCACACAGCTACTCACTTCCCCCCACCCAGCTACTCACTTCCCCCCACACAGCTACTCACTTCCCCCCACACAGCTACTCACTTCCCCCCACACAGCTACTCACTTCCCCCCACACAGCTACTCACTTCCCCCCACCCAGCTACTCACTTCCCCCCACCCAGCTACTTACTTCCCCCCACCCAGCTACTCACTTCCCCCCACACAGCTACTCACTTCCCCCCACCCAGCTACTCACTTCCCCCCACACAGCTACTCACTTCCCCCCACACAGCTACTCACTTCCCCCCACACAGCTACTCACTTCCCCCCACACAGCTACTCACTTCCCCCCACCCAGCTACTCACTTCCCCCCACCCAGCTACTTACTTCCCCCCACCCAGCTACTCACTTCCCCCCACCTAGCTACTCACTTCCCCCCACCCAGCTACTCACTTCCCCCCACCCAGCTACTCACTTCCCCCCACACAGCTGCTCACTTCCCCCCACCCAGCTACTCACTTCCCCCCACCCAGCTACTCACTTCCCCCCACACAGCTACTCACTTCCCCCCACCCAGCTACTCACTTCCCCCCACCCAGCTACTCACTTCCCCCCACACAGCTACTCACTTCCCCCCACACAGCTACTCACTTCCCCCCACACAGCTACTCACTTCCCCCCACCCAGCTACTCACTTTCCCCCACCCAGCTACTCACTTCCCCCCACACAGCTACTCACTTCCCCCCACACAGCTACTCACTTCCCCCCACCCAGCTACTCACTTCCCCCCACCCAGCTACTCACTTCCCCCCACACAGCTACTCACTTCCCCCCACACAGCTACTCACTTCCCCCCACCCAGCTACTCACTTCCCCCCACACAGCTACTCACTTCCCCCCACACAGCTACTCACTTCCCCCCACCCAGCTACTCACTTTCCCCCACCCAGCTACTCACTTCCCCCCACACAGCTACTCACTTCCCCCCACACAGCTACTCACTTCCCCCCACCCAGCTACTCACTTCCCCCCACCCAGCTACTCACTTCCCCCCACACAGCTACTCACTTCCCCCCACACAGCTACTCACTTCCCCCCACCCAGCTACTCACTTCCCCCCACACAGCTACTCACTTCCCCCCACACAGCTACTCACTTCCCCCCACACAGCTACTCACTTCCCCCCACACAGCTACTCACTTCCCCCCACCCAGCTACTCACTTCCCTCCACCCAGCTACTCACTTCCCCCCACACAGCTACTCACTTCCCCCCACACAGCTACTCACTTCCCCCCACACAGCTACTCACTTCCCCCCACACAGCTACTCACTTCCCCCCACCCAGCTACTCACTTCCCCCCACCCAGCTACTTACTTCCCCCCACCCAGCTACTCACTTCCCCCCACCCAGCTACTCACTTCCCCCCACACAGCTACTCACTTCCCCCCACCCAGCTACTCACTTCCCCCCACCCAGCTACTTACTTCCCCCCACCCAGCTACTCACTTCCCCCCACCCAGCTACTCACTTCCCCCCACCCAGCTACTCACTTCCCCCCACACAGCTACTCACTTCCCCCCACCCAGCTACTCACTTCCCTCCACCCAGCTACTCACTTCCCCCCACACAGCTACTCACTTCCCCCCACACAGCTACTCACTTCCCCCCACACAGCTACTCACTTCCCCCCACCCAGCTACTCACTTCCCCCCACACAGCTACTCACTTCCCCCCACCCAGCTACTCACTTCCCCCCACCCAGCTACTCACTTCCCCCCACACAGCTACTCACTTCCCCCCACACAGCTACTCACTTCCCCCCACACAGCTACTCACTTCCCCCCACACAGCTACTCACTTCCCCCCACCCAGCTACTTACTTCCCCCCACCCAGCTACTCACTTCCCCCCACCCAGCTACTCACTTCCCCCCACCCAGCTACTCACTTCCCCCCACACAGCTACTCACTTCCCCCCACACAGCTACTCACTTCCCCCCACACAGCTACTCACTTCCCCCCACCCAGCTACTCACTTTCCCCCACCCAGCTACTCACTTCCCCCCACACAGCTACTCACTTCCCCCCACACAGCTACTCACTTCCCCCCACCCAGCTACTCACTTCCCCCCACCCAGCTACTCACTTCCCCCCACACAGCTACTCACTTCCCCCCACACAGCTACTCACTTCCCCCCACCCAGCTACTCACTTCCCCCCACACAGCTACTCACTTCCCCCCACACAGCTACT